AATGTGTAAAAGTGCAGTTCAGGTTGTACTTGTGCAGGATAACAAATATTGTCATTTTGTGTTGCCAACTGACATTTTGCGAGAAAAATCCCCTAACTAGCAACGACCACAAAACAATTAAAAAAACCTAAATAAAAGTTAAAATCGAGAAAATAGTATAAATCCCACGTTGCAGAAGGCTATTCTCGCACTCATTCGTTCGTCCACTCGCTCCTTCGTCGCTCGAGGCCAAATTTCGAATTCGTGCGAGAATATGTGGCCTTCTGCAACTTGTACTTTAATATACTATTATTCTATCAGGGCTGTCATAAAACTGTCAAATGTCAATTTTAAGATTAAATTATAACCCACAAATTAACCTTCAAATTGTCAACTGACAGCCCTGATAGAATAAAGCTTAATTTTCATGTATCCGTTTGTCCGTAATCCGTATGTCAGTTTTTCAAAAAAATCGTCCGATAAGAAATGTTCTAATTTTCATGCATACGTTTTTTAATGACGTTTAACGGATTGATTTTGCGACAAATAGAAATTAAGTGTCAGTATATTCACTTACTAAATTTACCTAATGCTTAATTGTCATAGTTACAATTATGTCAACAATTGTAACTTTAACAGTTAGCTGTCTAATAAATTTAAAGGTAGGTAAATATACCTTATAAAAAGAATATACTAGCCCTAATATACATTAAAATATATAGTTTTAAAAAAGCAGGTCCTTTTAGTTCTATTTTTAATTTTTTTTGTTTGTCCTTTCTTTTTTTCCGTTATTCTTATTAAATAAAAACTTAACTGTAGAACCATAGATAACAAAGCCTGTGTAGAACATTATTCACATAACGAACGTAATATTTTCGTTTTACAATCTTATTGAAAAAATATAAAAATATTTGAAAATAAATTATCTTAAAATAACGTTAGGCGTCAAAAACAGATGTTTAAGTGACGGATGAGTTAATAGTATATTACACTACAAGGGCAGAAAGTGTGAGATTCCTGCACTGCGCGCCATGATGCCCGAGGCGAAGCCGAGGGCATCATGGCGCGCAGTTCAGGACTCTCACACTTTCTGCCCGTGTAGTGTATACTATTTTTCTTACTACCTCGGCCGAAAATACAAACCGGCCGAAAATACGGGAAAAAATTAAATGTGTATTTATGTACCTATCTCCATTTGAAGAGCTTGATAAATAAATAACAGTAGGCCGTGAATTCAGCGGTGCCAATACAGTAAAAATAAAACGTTGTATTTTAATTAACAAATTACTACTTTATAACAAATAAAAGTACCATTAAACACTTAAAACAACATAAAAAGTAAAAAAGTAAAAACATAAATTGTTTATTTGTTGTTATAATTGCAAAATTATGGTTTAAAACTGTCATATTTTTGTGTTTCTCATGTTGGCAGTACGAAATTTGAATGTTAAGCACACGACTAATAGTATATTACACTACAAGGGCAGAAAATGTGAGATTCCTACACTTCGCGCCATGATGCCCGAGGCGAAGCCGAGGGCATCATGGCGCGCAGTTCAGGGCTCTCACACTTTCTGCCCGTGTAGTGTATACTATTTTTCTTGCTACCCCCGCAGAAAATACGGGAAAAAATTAAATGTATATAAAAAAACTTGTGTCAAAATTAAAATCTGACGTTTAATTTAATTCTGACGTTTACATTCAAAATCAATCAAACTGTAGCGTTGTCATGGTAATTCAGCGGTGCCAATACAGTAAAAATAAAAGGTTGTATTTTAATTAACAAATTACTACTTTATAACAAATAAAAGTACCATTAAACACTTAAAACAAAAATTTTCTTACTACCTCGACTCAAAATACGTTGTTTCGTCCCCGATTTCACGGCAGAAAGTTTACGTTTCTTGCATTGGTCAAGCTATACGCGCACACTCTAATAGCGGGAGTAAAAATTTTTTAGTCGTGTGCTTAACATTCAAATTTCGTACTGCCAACATGAAAAACACAAAAATATGACAGTTTTAAACCATAATTTTGCAATTATAACAACAAATAAACAATTTATGTATTTACTTTTTTACTTTTTATGTTGTTTTAAGTGTTTAATGGTACTTTTATTTGTTATAAAGTAGTAATTTGTTAATTAAAATACAACCTTTTATTTTTACTGTATTGGCACCGCTGAATTACCATGACAACGCTACAGTTTGATTGATTTTGAATGTAAACGTCAGAATTAAATTAAACGTCAGATTTTAATTTTGACACAAGTTTTTTTATATACATTTAATTTTTTCCCGTATTTTCTGCGGGGGTAGCAAGAAAAATAGTATACACTACACGGGCAGAAAGTGTGAGAGCCCTGAACTGCGCGCCATGATGCCCTCGGCTTCGCCTCGGGCATCATGGCGCGCAGTGCAGGAATCTCACACTTTCTGCCCTTGTAGTGTAATATACTATTTACTCCCGCTATTAGCGTGTGCGCGTATAGCTTGACCAATGCAAGAAACGTAAACTTTCTGCCGTGGAATCGGGGACGAAACAACGTATTTTGAGTCGAGGTAGTAAGAAAAATTATTTAACCTTTCTCTGTCAGACGTACGAAGTTGAAACTTGACGGACCGATAAAATGTCATAATTTTCGAATTATAATTGGACCAATAAAAGCGCTCCCGGATGACGGACAAACGGATACATGAAAATTAAGCTTAAGGCCTTATTTGAGGCTTACAAGTGCCTCTGTAAGAAACACAACGTTTAAAACAATTATTAAACAGCACAAACCCAAAGCACAAGAATTATAAACAACAAAAATGGCCGCCGTTAAACTGTGCAGTGTTGCAGTGATTTTTTGTATTTTTAGTACGAGATAGAACAGACCTTGTGTGGATTGTGATATTTTCTACATTTTTTCGTTTTTTTAGAACTGGTATTTTTTTTAACTATTTTTACCATTTTTAGGGTAAAAATGAATAAAAAAAACCCTTGTTAAACCTTAAATAAATGATACTCAATAAAACATGCCATCTGGGGGATTAAATACTTAATTATTAAATTAACCGAGGTGTAATGAACAGAATAGATAGAAGTAATTGTTTATCGATTTTGGTCCAGGCGGAAACGGCTTTGCGGATATATCCGAAACAGCGTAAATTGGATGTCGTCACCATTTTCCCGGTCGCGGTTTCACGTCGCCCTCACACCCCCCACCCCGCCCCCTTTCAGTGTCCCATCGGGATCCGCGCGACTTTATTATTGCCTTGTTTTCTCGGTTTTCCAGATGTCTGACTGTCTACTTTTATTATGTTGTATGATTGGAGAGGAAATCGTGGTAAAAAGTGGAGGAAATGTTTGTTTTCTTTGTACAATTATTTATAATTTGAATAATTTTGTCCTATTTTCTTGTTTTGTTATATTATGTCGCTGCTTAATTGTTTAGGTAAAATTTTTTTTAAATTATTTTTTACAATAAACAAAAAAAATGTTTGGTCAGTTTTCTTTCATTTGTCATTTTTATTCCATTAATTACTTTTGAGAAATGAACAAAAACAAAAAATGTTAATTCCCAAATTTTCAGAAAAATCAAAATTGAAAATTAACTGGGTTTGAGATCAAGCAAAAACTTTTATCAAAAAGGAAATTTTCTTAATTTTCTTAAATGTAAAATATATTTTTTTTTCTCTTTGTAACCCCATCTGTGGACAATATTGTACAAAAATAGTATATTATCACTCGAGTGAATAATGCGCATAATCTCGAGAAGCTATGCTTTATTTACTCCAATAAGTAGATAATTAAATGATTTCCAAAAATAAATAAATAAAATCTGACATCTGTCAAATGGTTAATCTCATTTTTTACCAATTTTAAATCCAATTTAAATTTAAAACCTAATTGGTTCAAATCACAGTGAATATTGAAATGGGCCAATCACTGATACCTAACAACGTGAATAATGAGTTCATTATTCCTGTTGCTATGCAGGGAATTTATAATGTTTATCATCATATACGCAAAAAAACAATATTATGCAATAATTTTAAAAAACTACTTGTCAGAAACATTTTTGTAATTTTATAATCAAAAAAATCCCCCCTCCACCTGTTGTTCAACACCCTGTATAACTTTGAAAAAATTAGAATCTTCTTAAAATATATAGATTTTTTTCTACTCCCACCTTTAAAACGCCCTTTATCGTACATGTTTCCAGGACACTAAGTGACCTTTTAAATACACATTGACAAGTTGTGGCTTTATGGCGCTTTAGTCACGGGCTGAAGTTAGCAACAGGTTTTTAGTCACGGGCAGAAGTTTGTTTTAAGTTAGTTGACAGTTGTCAAATGTCATACAAACGTTAAAATAAAGTGCCTTTCTTGTAAAATAATACTAAATGTGAAAATTATTTTATTATCTCAATTCAAAAATACAAAAGTACTAAATAGTTTCTCAACGCCAATATTTGAAAAGTTTATATGAACATTGTACTGACCTTTTAATTTCGCCGGCAATAAACTATAATTTAAATTCGGGCACGGACTCCACTGTAAAGTGCTCATAAAACATTTTCTTTACTTTCACTGTGAAAAACTGTCAATTTTCAAGAAATACATTTCGGTTTATAACCTTTATAAAATATAAAAATTTGACGGTGACACACCCTATTGTTTCATAGATGGCGCTCTATACAAATTTTTGATTTAAATCATTTTAACATAATAATTATGTTACGACGGTGACAAAAAGATTCCGCTATTGTTTCATAGATAGCGCTCTATGCAAATTTTTTATTTAAATCATTTTAAGATAATAATAAGTATTTGTCGTAGAAAAAGTATAGTATGCACCTTGTTTATAAACTTTTCTATACACTTATTAATTTAAGCACTCGCTCGCAATGGCAATGGCGTTTATCAAACTTGATACATAATATACTATTATGATTCTTGGTCTATTACTTTCATCTAAATCGTACATTTTATACAGAACCTATATTTTCATAACTACGTTTTCCTTTTTTTCAGGTTATCATGGCGCTGGCCTCGCACTTGCAATTGGTCGAGGCGGAAAAACAAAAGCTGCGAACGCAGGTTCGCCGTCTGTGCCAGGAAAACGCCTGGCTTAGGGACGAGTTGGCTTCCACGCAACAAAGGCTTCAGGTAAAACAATACGGCTTTCGCAAAAAATACACTAAAAAAATGACGAACAAAAACAAGGCCCCGTGGTTTGTTTGTGTTTCAAAGACATCCAAATACGCTTTTGTAATGAGTGGGTTGCTTTGAACTAAAGTTTTGTTCTTTTTAGAATAAGCTTTGTACAAAAAGGAACGCACTGTACCCATTTATTAACGCCTTTTTGAACAAATCATTTAAAAAAATACTATTTTAATGTTGGATTGATTTGATTATTTGTATTTTTTAATTTTAATGTGTTTATAATGATTTTGATTTCTTATATAAATAATTTTGTATGTATTCTTCTTTTTTTTAACTTTTTTTAACTCTTTTCTTTAACTCTTTTATTAACTGTTTTTTAACTCTATTTTAACTCTTCTTTGACTCTTTTTTTACTCTTTTTAACTCTTTTTTTAACTCTTTTGAACAAAGCATTTAAAAAATACTATTTTAATGTTGGATTGATTTGATTACACAGTAGTAACATCAAAAAGACACAAAAAATCGCCGTTACACGTAAACTTAATTATTGGGCGTAGAATCCAGTGGTGTAATCAGTTTTTTAAATTTCTTAAGATATTTAATATTTAAGTTTTTGTAACTTTTTGGTTTATTATTTGTGTACATTTTGAGAAATGCCAAAAAAGACACAAAAAACGCCGGTACATGTAAACCTAATTTTTGGGTGTAGAATTCAGTGGTTTAATCCGTTTTTTTAAATTAGGTCGTTTTCTCAAAATATTTGAAATTTTGTGTTTAAATATTTTTTTATTTGTTATTTTGCTATATATGTATATATAGAGGGTACCCACTCACCTGGAAAACAGGGAAAACCTGGAAATGTCAGGGAAATTAAATATTAGTAAAAAAGTCAGGGAAAAGTCAGGGAATTTGCTGAATTTTACGAAAAGTCAGGGAATTTAACTAATTTTTACGAAAAGTCAGGGAATTTAACTAATTTTTCTTGATTTTTCCGAAAATTGTTTCTATTTTTATTACCGGCCGAAGATTATTTTTTACAAATAATATAGCCGGGCATTGAAACTAAAATAAATCATTTGCGCAAATACTATAATATAAAATGTATGACCTTAAGGTATAATTATAAACTAAGTTTGTTTCCTTTCAAATTTTTTATGAATGTTCTGTTTAATTTTTTTTATTATATTTTAAGAAATGTTAAAAAAAATTGTAAAAAGAAAAATAAAATATATTTTTACTTTACATGTACTATGCTCCACACTTCAAATTCCCACCACGTGACCACGTACGGAACGCAGTCTTTTGAAAATTTGGCATTTAAGGCTTTTCAGGTTATGTATCTGTCAAAGTATAGTCAACGAAAGAAATAATATTATGTTTAGGCGTTAAAAATGTATAAATCTTTATAACATTAGATTAACAATGGATGGTTTAAGAATTTAAGAATATAAAGACTGCATTTAATGAAATTCCAAAGTGTATGGTGCCAAATAAGAAATATTTTTGTGCATTTTGTCCAAATATCTGGTTTTCTCCATGAAATAATTTTAACTAAACAGCATTTATTTAAAAAAATCTAGCTTCTCTATTATGGAATAAGAATATCTGACTTGCGTCTATATCCCAAACCTATTCCCTGTCATTTTGGTTATGCAGGTACACTGCATTCTGCCATACCAAACTAACCCAAACTTAACAACCCAACCCAACCGACCCCGCCCCATTGGGCCCCTCCCGCCCCATTGTCACAATCCAGCCTGCCCTTAGATATATTATACCTCTATTGCTCAATGGGGCGGAAGGGGCCCAATGGGGCGCGGTCGGTTGGGTTGGGTTGTTAAGTTTGGGTTGGATTGGTATGGCACAATGCAGTGTACCTGCATAACTTTTTACTTTGAAATTTGTTAAAGAAACACTTGACAGTGACAAACTACGGAACGCATTTGACAGGGAATAGGTTTGGGATATAGACGCAAGTGAATATCTGTATTAAAGGTAGGTTAATATATTATAACAAAAATATCATCTAATTTTGTAATTTTAAGGTTAGAAAAATTTATTTTGACCAAAATAAATAAGTATTTTGGATTATTTAAAAGACTGTATAATATGGTATTTAAAAATGTGGTAGTTTTTCTTATCCAGCTTAAAGTGTACCTACATAAAGTTTTGTCAATACAAATAGTTAAAAAGCTTCGACTGAATTTGATCTACATCAAAAAATCATTATAACTTTAAAAATTTTAATAAATCACATGTCATGGGAGTATTAAATATTTTCACATTGCAAGTTTCCCTAAAAATTGTTTGTTTTCTTATAATCTACATAACTTAAAGTAGGTATGCCGAGAGGTATGCACAAGTTTTGTCATTAGAAGTATAAGAGCTTCATTTTAATCTGAACCATATTCAACAATTATTTAGTATACCTATATTTATTTATGACCAAATAATCCACTAATTTATTTTGGTCAAAATAGATTTTTCTAACCTTAAAATACAAAATTAGATGAAATTTTTTGTTCTAATACATTAACCTTTGATATATCAAATACAGATATTCTTATTTCATAATAGAGAAGTTAGATTTTTTTTAATAAATTATGTTTAGTTAAAACTATTTTATGGAGAAATGTAGACCCAATGCACAAAAATATCACTTATATTGCACCTTACACTTTGAAATTTCATTAAATGCAGTATTTATATTCGTAAATTCTTAAACCAACCATGTTATTGTGATACTAGTAAAAGTTAATAAATCTTTATAGCTATAAAGATTTATTTACTTTTAACGCTTAAACATAAGCGGTATCACTATAAATATGATTTCTTTCATTGACTATACTTTGACAGATACATAACCTGAAAAGCCTTAAATGCCAAATTTTCAAAAGACTGCGTTCCGTACTTGGTCACGTGGTGGGACTTTGAGGTGTGGAGCATAGTACCTATAATTATTGCTGGAAATTGATGAAAATTGGTCTGGAAAACCTGGAAAAGTCAGGGAATTTTGTTTCATTTTCTTGGTGGGAACCCTGATATATATATATATATTAAGACACCATAATCCCTCTTAAAATATCTTTATTTCTAAAAAATTATTATTTATCAATAATAAACTTTTTTGTCAGTTAGTAATATAAAATATTAAAATTAATTTATATTTAAAAAAATAAAAAACTACTTAAATAACAAGTTGTAAAGAATGTAAAAAATGTTTAATTTTATACCTCTTTGAAGATTGACCAACAAAAATCAGCAAGCATCGAGTCGAATTTTTTGCCAGAAAACCGATCTTCAAATGTCATAATGGTTTGATGAAATCGTTCACCAGCTTCATCGGATTCGGTTGAAAGTTGTTTTTCATAAAAATTAATATGAGCATGCAAAATTTGTAGCTACATATTTATACTTACTTAACCACAAAACTATGTAGCAAAGAATTATTTCAATTGTAAAAACTAAAAACAACATTTATACAGGCTGTACTTAGTCTATTTACTAGTAAATGAAATTCTCAAATTTTATTTAATTCGAATATTTCCCACTAATACCAGACAATAAAATTTACTAAAACAAATTTAATTACAAAAAAAGAAATATGCGAAAAATCTAATAAAATTATAAAAAACGAATGTTATTAATTTAAGAGACAAAAATTTATGAATTAAAAATAAATACAGAAATTTTGAAACGGGTTATGCTATATTTTTCTTTAAAAATATACCAAAATGGTGAAACAAAAAACTTAAATAATTAATATCTTGAGAAAACGAGCTAACTTTAAAAAACTGATCACACTACTGAATTCTACACCCAAAAATTAGGTTTACGTGTCCCGGCGTTTTTATGTGTCTCTTCAAAAGTTTGAAATTTACCTACAGTGTTATTTGTATTTTTTAATTTTATACTGTTTTTAATGATTTTGATTGTTTATATTTTGTATGGATTCATCTTTCTTTTTAACTCTTTTTTTTAACTCTTTTTTTTAACTCTTTTTTTTAACTATTTCTTAACTCTTTTTTCATTTTTCTTCAATCTATTTTTTTTCTGGGTTAAAAAATCCTGCAAACTTAAATTGGACTTGTTATGTATCTCATGAAAAATATTAAATGAAAAGTCAGTGGGGCTGTATAATCAAATTTTTTGAGTAGATCAAATTGTTTTTAATTTTCCAGTCGAGTGAGCAGTCAGTGGCGCAGCTTGAAGAAGAAAAAAAGCACCTGGAATTTATGAAAGCTGTTAAAGTCTACGATCAAGATTTAAATGACGACACAGCTTCGGAACACTCGAGAAATGAAAAACCTGACCCTGTCGTGGACTTGTTCCCTGATGACGACAACGATGATAGAAACAGTGAGAAAACTGTAACTTGAAATCACAAAACAAAACTTACTTTTTTAGATATGTCGCCTACGCCGCCGAACCAGCTGCAACTGTCCCAGCAGGTGAACGCAGGGTACGAGATACCGGCGCGCCTGCGCACTCTGCACAACCTGGTGATCCAGTACGCGTCCCAGGGCCGTTACGAGGTCGCCGTGCCGCTGTGCAAGCAGGCCCTGGAAGACTTGGAGCGCACCAGCGGCCACGATCACCCAGACGTCGCCACCATGCTTAACATTTTAGGTAAGATAACTACCTATAACACTAGTTTACAGCCATTTTGCCCACTATTATTTTCTGGTGTAGTTTGGCTCACTAAACGCGAAAATCACACTTAAAATTTTTTCATGGAGGCGTTTTCGAGATATGAATTTTCAATTATTTTTTTTTTAATTTTCTGAGGTGTTTTGACGTTTTAGAGTATACTATCGCTAACAAAAAAAACTCATACAGCTATATTGTGACTGTGTGAATAAAACTTATTATGACTTTTTTAACAACATTTTCAACCAAACAATGCAGACGAACTCTGGCAAGCCATTGAAGCCATTTGGAACGAGATAAAGCAAGACGGCGACTTCCATGCTTTGCCGTTTGCGGGCAGTAATTGACAAAAACAGAGGGATGACGAAATATTATTTTTTTTTTTCAAACTTCAACCTAACTTTGTATTTAATTTTAGACCTTTCAAATGTGACGTATCATGTTAAAAGCCATAATTACTCCAACGAAATGATAGAAAATCAGGAACACTAGATTTTTAAGCTGTATAAGTTTTTTTTGTTAGCGATAGTACTTCGAGTTCTAATTGATCAATTTGACCAAACAAGCACTTAAATCAAAGGTAATTGAGCCATCTACAACTTTCTCCTGTATAGTTTTGGTATTGGCTCAGTAGTTCGATAATGGGGATTTTATGAAGTTGAAAAAGTCTTTTTTTACAAAAATCGAGGTCAAAAATTTACATATCTTTCTGGGAAAGATATAAATCGAAAAGATAAGTCCAGTTTAAATTATTTTACCTATAGATTATACTTAAAGAAAAAAAAAGCTGCTGTTGATAAAAATCCATGCATAAATGGCAAAGTTATGAATTTCTCAGCGAAAGACCAAAATTTAGTTTTTTTCGAGAATTTTTACGTTTTTTTCATTTTATTGAGTTATATTAAGTTTAATATTGAACATTGATTTTTATTTTAAATATTAAATATTGAAATTAATTTATATAATGACTATTTCCCTCGTCTTAATTTCCACCAATCACAAACGCGCAATTTTGAATTACAAATGGTTTCTAGGTGAAAAAACTGTGTGACAGCACCTGTCAGCAGTTTATTCGAGTTTACCCGCGGCAAAACTTGACAGCTGTTGTCACCAAAAATTGCAATTTATATTTTAATTGTTAACTGTTACTCATGAAATAGTCTTGTCAAATACCATTCGGGCATCAAATTTTTCCTGTGAAAAAAAATCGAAAAAACACAATGCTAAGTAATATTTTTTAACAAAATGCATTCGTGCAGGTGCAAAAATCCTCTTCGACTCGGATTTTTGTTGCCACCAGCACTCATGCTTTTTGTTAAAATATTACTTAGCAACGTGTTTTTTCGATTCTTTTTGGAAAAATTAAATGCCCTTATGATATTACTTACGACTATTTCCCTCGTCTTAATTTCCACCAATCACAAAAGCGCAATTTTGAATTACAAATGGTTTCTAGGTGAAAAAACTGTGTGACAGCACCTGTCAGCAGTTTATTCGAGTTTACCCGCGGCAAAACTTGACAGCTGTTGTCACCAAAAATTGCAATTTATATTTTAATTGTTAACTGTTACTCATGAAATAGTCTTGTCAAATACCATTCGGGCATCTAATTTTTCCTGTGAAAAAAATCGAAAAAACACAATGCTAAGTAATATTTTTTAACAAAAAGCATTCGTGCAGGTGCAAAAATCCTCCTCTTCGACTCGGATTTTTGTTGCCACCAGCACTCATGCTTTTTGTTAAAATATTACTTAGCAACGTGTTTTTTCGATTCTTTTCGGAAAAATTAAATGCCCTTATGATATTACTTACGAATATTGAAGAGTAAATATTGATCATTGAAGATATTGAAAGTTTTATTTTGTTGTAATAAGCATAGGTTAAATGAGGAGCATCCGTGCAAAACCGGCTATATCCACTTTAATAAAATGTTGGGAAAATGGCAAAAACTCTCGGTTTCCTGGCCTTTACAGATAAAAGAAAAAGCAAACTTGAGTTTTGTGGTACTTGATTTATAAGACATACTTTCGTTTTCAAAAACTTTATATTAAGGCCAAAATTTCAAAAAATGTTTTGTATATAGCCGGTTTTGCTCGAAGACCGAATAAAAAACGAATAAAATGTGAAAAAAAAACCTTTATTATTCAAAAATATTGACAAAATAAATTTAATGCAAACATGAAAAAACAGAACAAATTTTAGTAGTAGTATCGACATATCCAAGCCACATATTATTATTTATTGGATATAGCCGGGTTTGCTATAAAAACGTGGATTTGGCCGGTTTTGCTCCTAAAGCTACCTTTTAAATGTGAAAACATAGATATAGTCGGATTTAAATTATCTTGGTTGTCGATAGAAATGAACCCAAAGATGCGAAGTAAAAAAAAACAAAAACTGAATAAAATGGATTTAGCCGGTTTTGCACGGATGCTCCTCAAATGTAATCACCCATCATGGCTGCATCCCAGAAGCCGTGATACCGCCGCTCCATAGCCTTCATTTGCTGGTGAAAACGTTCTCCGTGATCATCACTAACGTCGCCCAGATTATCTGGGTTATTTACGCACTCGAACTCTCTACTTCTTTTACTTATTTTAAACTTTTTATTAACTAAATAAAACCATGATAAAAATACTTTGTTAAAATATCAAAAAATAGCAGTAAAATGTCACTATGCCAACACGAGAAACTAAAGAATTCACGTTTGCGGAGTCATGTCAAATTTATATAATGATTTCGGTGAAAAAAAGTACGTAAAAAACTCAACAAATTCCAATCATGCACTTTTATTAGTTTTTTTTTTTTAAATAAACATATTACGATATAAAAGAAAAAAAATAAAATAAAAAAGTCAAAAAACTGAATTTTGGTCACTAAAAAATTCATAACTTAATTTTTTTATGTATTTTTATCAAAATGTTAGCTTCACGAAAAAAAATCCAAACTGGAGTTATATGTTTGATTTAAACCTTTCCCAGGACGATATGTAAATTTTCGACCTCAATTTTTGCCATAAAAACGAATTTTTTAAGTTATTAAAATCGCTAGCGTCAAAATACTTATCCGATATCAAAAGTATGTAAAATAAAGTTTTCGAGGGCTCAAATACCTTCAATAGGGCTTGTTTGACCAAATCGATCAATTAGAACTCAAAGTATACTCTAAAACGTCAAATTACCTCCGAAAATTAAAAAAAAACAATTGAAAATTCAAATTTCAAAAACGCTTTCATAATTTTTTTTTGTGATTTTCGTGTTTAGTGGGTCAAAATTAGTGTTGCAAACAAGGAAAAGTTCGGTCGAAAAGTTGGAAAAGTTGTTGGAAAAGAGGGAAAAGTTCGGCACCCCCTATGAAAAGTTGGAAAAGTTATTAGGTAGGAGCCAATGAACAATGAGTTGACTTGTAACCAGTGTTTCCAATACCATAATTTTTTTTCGGTAGATAATTTGGTCAAAACTCGATATAAATCGCTAGATTTGAAGTGTTTATAGTAAAACGTGCTAAAATCATTGTTTTTTGGAATAACATTCTGTCAAACTTTATCAAAAATGGTGTCTGCTAACAGCATTTTCTATTATATAAAGATTGTTTTTTTTTTAAATTTTTACTTGTAAATTTCCATAATTTAAAACAACAATAAATTTGCTTCATATTTTTTTGTAATTATTTTTTATTTTGTATCTGTTTTTTTATGGTGTGTATAAATTTCTATTCTTTTTTACTTAAAAAATATGATTTTTTTAACTCAAACCTAGTTTATTTTTGTTGTGATTATGTTGTCTGTTCATTTTATTTTGTTTGTTATTTTTTTTGTTATTTTGTTATAAAACAACTTGTTACGTATGTATAAATACATAAGAAATAAATTATTTTAATATATTGACAAGCATTATTTATGTTTTATACGTTTACATTACAAAAAACTCTACTTTTCCATCTTTTCCAACTTTTCCGAACTTTTCCGAAAAATAAAACCAACTTTTCAAAAATTTCAACTTTTCATGAAAAGTTGCAACCCTAGTCAAAATACATGGAAAAATTATAATGGGATTTGGTGGGCAGAATTTTTTTTCGATTTTGTAATCTAGTGTAATAAACAAAAAATAACCTTGTTTTCAGCTCTGGTGTACAGAGACCAGAACAAGTACAAGGAGGCGGCCAACTTGCTCAACGACGCGCTCACGATCCGGGAGAAGACGCTGGGAGAGAATCACCCGGCCGTGGCGGCGACGCTGAACAATTTGGCGGTGCTGTACGGCAAGAGGGGCAAGTACAAGGAGGCGGAACCTCTGTGCAAGCGCGCGCTGGACATCAGGGAGAAAGTGCTGGGCAGGGAGCATCCCGACGTTGCCAAGCAGCTCAACAATTTGGCGTTGTTGTGTCAGAATCAGGTGAGATATATATCCTAAGAGTAGGCTTTAATTATCTCCAGGTTATCTATCTATTGGACTATTTTTGGATCAATTGGAAATTTTTTAAAATTTGAAATCCTAAAACTTTAGAATTATTGAAAATTCCAATCATTCCAAATTTTAAATTTTTAAGTTTTTTTTTTAATTTTTAAAATCTCAAACTTACGAAATCTCAAATTTATACTGAAAATTTCAAAATTTACAAAATTTTAATTTTATTTTTAAATGTTTAAATATTATTATTATATAAATATTAATATTAAATTTTTAAGATTTTTTTTTTATTTTTAAAATCTTAAAATTAGTTAACAGTACGCGTTGACGAGTAGGAAAAAAAGGTAAATAAGTGAAAATTTCCAAATTTACGAAATTTTAATTTGTCTTTAAATTTTTATTATTCAATTTTAATAATATATATTATTAAATTAAAATTTCGTAAATTTGGAAATTTTCACTTATATACTTTCTTTTTCCTACACGTCAACGCGTACTGTTACCTAATTTTGAGATTTAAAAAAAAGAAAAAATTTTCTTTTTAATTTTTAAAATCTCAATTTCCAAAATCCCAAATTTACAAAATGTTCTAAATTTTACAAAATTTTTTGGGTTTCACAAATTTTTAAGATTTTTTTTTTATTTTTAAAATCTCAATTTTGTAAATTTTTGAAATTTTGAAAACTTGAAATTTTTCAGGTAATGTTTAAAATTTGTAGATTTTTTAAATTTTTTGAAATTTAAAACAAATTGAAATTTTGAAATTTTCACTTGCCTTTTCTTTTTCTACTCGCCAACGCCTACTACGCCTAATTTTGAAAATTTTGAGAATTTGTAAATTAAAAAAAAATCTTTAAAAATATTTGGGAATTTTTAAATATTAAAAAAAAGTTTAACTTGTTTTATAAAATATTTTAAAGTTTTGAAAATTTTAAAAATCAAAAAATTTAAAATTAAAATTGTACCAATTTTTTAAATTACTGCTTTTTGGAAATTTTAATTTTAAAATATTAAAAACAAACAAAAATTGAAATTTTTTGAAAATTAATTGTTTTCTACTTGGCAAGAAATTAAAAAAAAATTTGAGACTTAATTTTGAAAATTTCGAAACTTTTACTCACTTTATTTTTTTCTACTTGTCAATGCCTACTGTTTGAGATTTTTAAAATTGAAAAAATCTTAAAATTTTGAAAATTCAAAAAAAATTTGAAAAATTCGACATTTTTGGGAATTTGGGAATCTTTTGAATATTATAAAAAAAATTAACTTAAATATTTTAAAATCATTTTTGATTTTTTAAAATTAGAAAATTTAAACAAAATTTTATTCTTTTTTTCCCACTCGTCAATTTGGAAATTTGAAAATTAAAAAAAATATTTTAAAATTTTAAAATTGCTGTAAAAAAATATTAAAATTTTCAACAAATTTGGGTTGAAAATTTTGTAAATCTTTTTTAAAATTTTCTAAATTGTGAATTTAAAAAAAAAATAAAATATTAAAATTAAAACAAAAATAGAACATTTTTAAAAAAATTTAAATTATAACTCGCTTTATTACCTTATTTTGAAAATTTAAGATTCTTAAAATCCAAAAATTTTGAAAATTCAACAAAATTCGAAATTTTCGAATTTATTTAAAAATTTGGGAATTTGGAAATTTATTAATATGTACATATCTATTATAAAAAAAATTAACGTAAATATTTTATAATTATGAACATTTTTAAAATACATATTGAAAATTTCAAAAATTTTACCCATCTTTTCCTATACGTCAACATAATTGTGGAAATTTAAAAATTAAAAAAAATCTTAAAATTTTGTAAACTTTTAAAAGTGCTTAAAAACAAAAAAAATTGGGTTAAAAATTTTCTAATTCTTAAAAAATGTCCATAATTTTTAAAAAATTTGTTTATTTTTAAAATTAATGAAAATTTTTAAAAGTTTGTAAATTTCATCTTGGGGCCGCCGCCATATTGGATTTATTTATTTCCATCCCTCTTTCACCCAATCAAACTTCCGTATCCTCGAAACTAAAAAAAAGTGTAAAAAAGTATAACGTCGTAATTTTAGGGCAAATACGAGGAGGTGGAAAAGTACTACCAGCGCGCTCTGGAAATCTACGAGAAACGTTTGGGGGCCGACGACCCGAACGTCAGCAAAACGATGAACAACCTGGCGTCGTGTTACCTGAAGCAGGGCAAATACAAGGAAGCGGAAGTGCTTTACAAGCAAATCCTGAACAGGGCCCACGAACGGGAGTTCGGAACGATTGACGGTGAGCAAAAACAATCTCCTTCTTAATGTGTAATGTGTAACGCGTAACAGTATGTACATGGACTGATTTTTGTAATTACCTCAACTAAAAAAGAATTAGCAAGTTTTGCACAAAGATTGAGTATTTTGGAGTCACTTTTACAGTTTTGGCCATTACCATCCTTTTTGTTTATGGCCATTAGTATTTTTATATCTGCAATATTTTTTTTTAATTTTACCGTACGTTTTGTAGTGGTTTAGAGTAAATATTTTTATAATTATTTAGATAGAGCACATGTATTTTAACAATATTCATTTTATTTTTAAAAGTCCTTGTTTCAAGATTTTAAATTTAAAATATAAGAAGTAAGGTACATGTGTTTCATTTATTTTGAGTTAAAAAAAAACAAACAAAAAAGACAATAGTTCTTGTTAAAAAATATTTTTCAAATCAAGAAGTAACCAAAACTTCTTTGTTTTAGTTTTTTTTACAATTTAAAATTATTATAGGTATTTATATTAGTATAAAATACTACAATACCTTACTTTCAACTTTAATTTAATTTTTTATCATTCTACCTAAATTACAAACATTCAGTCTCATCTATTTTACTATCTATTATATTGTTAGCTATTATTACATTGGTGGCTGATACTTAAAATACCTAATTTGTAAATAAATGGTTCCTCTATTAGCATGGCATTATTTATTATTTAATATTTGCTTAGGTTAAAAACAAGATTTTTTTATAATTTAATGCATGTTATATTTTGTAAAAAAAGATGGAAAAAATAAAAAATTTATATAACTTTTATTAAAGTGCCTTATACTAAGAATCGAAGATTCTAAATATGCATAAATATGTTTTAGTATTTTCTGAATAAAATATATACATGTCCCAAAATTGGCTGCCCAAAGGGTATGAAATTCAAATTCAAAAGGATTTAACCTTTTCTCACAATAATTTCCCTAAATGGTACAAAATATTTCAGTGGAACAAAAGCCATAAAGGGGCTTCAAAATAATATTTTTTTTCTTCCCCTGGAATATCTCAAACAGTTTAAAAACTAGAGCCAGTTTGGGGCACAACACAACAAAATTTTAACACAATTAACACTAAATTTTACACGCTTTTTTATGTTCGCTTTTATACACAGTATTTTAATTTCCTTAAAAAGCATTCCACATAATTTTAGTAAAGAAATTTGTTATAGCGAAATCCAATCAAATATGAGTGATACATCTTAATAATTAATGTTTGGCTTTTGCTACTATTAATTAAATGTTATACAGAGTGTTTAGATATATTTCCTTGTATTACTTTTGCAATATATGTTTTTTAATTGCATGACGTGTTTTATTTAATTTTGTTCCTTTATTATTATTTCCTAGAGTTATTTTAAACACACTGTATAACAATTTTGCATGAATTATCAAATGGAATGTTAGTCTATAGTATTTAGTAAAATTTGTGTTGGTATACAGGGTGTTTAGAAATACTGTACTTGTGCAAAACGTGTTTAACCCTGTAAGTATCAAATAAACTTCGCTTTTTCATTTGGATTTTGACATGTTTGAATATTGAAAAAAATATTTTTGTGTTATTTCGTGTTACATAGTACCTAGTCAACATTTTATTTATTTTATTATCAAAACCGATTTAAATTATTAAAAGTAGGTACTATTTTAAATATTTGAGATTTGTAGAATTAAAAAAAAAATTGAAATATTAAAAATTTAAAAACAAATTAAAATTTTGTAATTTTGAAATTATGGAAATTTGGTAATTTTGATTAATTTTGAAAATTAAAAAAAATTAAATAGGTATTTTAAAATTTTAATAATTTTGAGATTTTGTAAACCTTAAAAAATTTTGGATTATGTATTTAAAAAAAAATTAAGTAGGTAGTTTTGGAAATATTTTAAAAATTTAAAAAAATTGAAAATATTAAAAATTTTAAAATTAATGAAAGATATTGGAAATATTTTAAAATTTGAAATATTGGGAATTTAAAAAAATCAAGATATTTTAAAAAACTTTTTTATGGAAAATTCAAAAATGACAAATTTGCATATTTATAATTTTTTTTTTCGTGTTACACACCCTAGTAGTCAACATTTTATTTATTTTATTATCAAAACCCTGTTTTTAATCATGAAAAGTATTATTTGAAATTTGTAGAATTTGAAAATTTTTTGAAATATTTAAAAATTTAAAAACAAATTAAAATTTTGTAATTTTAAAATTTTTACTTACCTACATACCTTATCTTTTTCTACTTAAAAAAACGCCTTTACCAATCTTTATAAAATTTTGTATAAAAATACTTCAACTTATATCACAGTTTACGGTTCAAGGGTTTTTCGAGAAAATATCCTTAAAGCCCTTTTATTTAATAATATAAATGCTCGAAAAAAAACTTGTATTGGGAAATTTATTTTTAAGTAAATAAAAAATATGTTGTGAAAGACCGTATTTTTGTTAGTATACCCTGAAAATTTTGTACAAATCAAATGAACAGTATCGAAAATACAGCGCTTCAATGTCAAAAATGACCACTTTTCAGCAAAATAATAAAAAAGGGTAATTTTTACCGACTTGAAGCGCTGTATATTTGTTACTGTTCGTTTGATTTGTACAAAATTTTCAGGGTATACTAACGAAAATACGGTCTTTAACAGCATTTTTATTTACTTAAAAAAATCCCTTAAAGTTATTATTTGAACGTTTTTTTAGTTATTAAATAAAGGAGCTTTAAAAATATTTTCTCGAAAAACCCTGAACACGTAAACTGAGATATAAGTGGAAGTATTTTTATACAAAATTTCATAAAGATTGGTAAAGGCGTTTTAGAGTTGGAATTTTTTACTTATTATGCGTTAATTTTGACGGGCAGTGTATAAAAAATCTTATAATTTTGACAATTCAAATTTTTTTAAAGATTTTGTAAAGTTTTGAATATTTTAATAAATTTTTAATTCATTTTGGAAATATTTTACAATTTTGGAATTGGAAATTCAAAAAAATTTGAAAAAGTGTAAATTAAATTTTTTTGGAAATTTTCTGAATTATTCAAACAAAAATTGAACTCTAAAAATTAATTAAAATTTAAATATTTTGAAAACTTGAAAAATTTCAAAAATTGGAAATACATTTTTTTTTGAAAATTTGAATATATTAAAATCTTAAACAAAATTTGAACATTTTAAAAAATTTTATAAAACTTTGAAAATATTTTAAAATTTGAAATCTTGGGAATTTTAAAAATTTATTTATTTTAATATCAAAAAAAACTGGAGTTACAATTTTTTTATTAAATTCTTTACCAGTCAACAACAAGCCAATCTGGCAGGTGGCCGAAGAAAGGGAGGAGAACAAGGCGAAAAATCGCGAAAACGCCCCATACGGAGAGTACGGCGGCTGGCACAAGGCCGCCAAAGTGGACTCTCCCACCGTCACGACCACCTTGAAAAACCTCGGGGCCCTCTACCGAAGGCAAGGGAAGTACGAGGCCGCCGAAACGCTGGAAGATTGCGCATTGAGGAGCAGAAAAGAGGTAAGCGAAATGTAGGAGTATAATTGTTGGTTTGCGAGGATAGGTTTGTTCCATAACAACGGAAAAAACATCTGGGCGTGTTTTGGAACAATCAAAACAAGTGTTATAAAACAGTTTTTTCCTATTTTTATAATAATACCAATCATAATAATATTTAACATTGGTATTTTTATCTTCTTTGAAGTCAGATCGTTTTGTAATTACGCAGGCTTGGCTGCTTTAAAGCTTACTAATGTATATATTGTATTTTATAAATGCTGCAGCATGTGCAACAAGTAAGTTTGAATAGATATTTAATTAAAATAATATTAAAAATGTTGCAAAACCCATATTAATTAAATCTACCGTACTAATAGGCTAGTACACCATCATAGACATATTTGTTTATGACACTGTAATGCTAGTAGTAGTAAGTTTCAAAGTTACAACAAAAAATACTTTGAAAGTAATTACTTTAAAGTAAAACATCGCTTTAGCTTTCAAAGCTAAAATTAACGCATAACTAACCGTTTTGCGTTTTGGGGCAGGCTTTAGACATCGTAAAGCACTCAAAAGTGGCGAGTATCCTTGGAGATTCTGAGAGACGCAAGTCTGGCAGTATTAAGGACAAAAATTCCCGACGGGGATCCAGGGAATCCTTGGAAATGTCCTACGACGGCGAAGAGGTGAGTTTTTGACACCCTGTATGTTTCGAATTTTAAAAACCATCGGTTTATTAAAATTTATTACCAAATATTTTGATTTTCCGCATGTTCACATAAATTTAAAAATGGTTTTTATTATTCTTGTAAGTGTTTTTGCTTTTGTGTCTTTGGTTTCTCTTTTTGTACATCACATATTTATCAACTCCATTTATTTTCTTTTAAATACCCTTTAGTTTATTTTTTTAAATATATTTAGATATAAATAGTTTAGATAGTTTAATAAACCAAATATTTATTTATACAAAAATTAAGGCACCTACACAAATATTGTGTGATATATAAAATCCAGTAAGTTTATTTTAGTAAACAAAATTTGTTGGTCATTTAATGACTAACATAAAATCATCAACTCTGTGTTTTACAATGTTTTACTGTATTTTTGTTAGAACCCGGCCAGGACCCCTGACACAGAAAAAAGCGGATTAAAATCGAAAATCTTTAACGCGCTCGGCATCCACTCCCCAGTAGGAAAACCAAGTTCTTAATTTAACCTTACATTTTAAGCTGCAAAAAATAATTTATTTTCATTGCTGCAAAGCGAAAGAAGGCTTTCCTTTATTATTTTTATATGCAAGACGATTTAATACGTTTAATTTTATCGAAAAAAAATCATGGTTAAAGGTTTTTGTAGCAGTATTATATTACTTAATAATTTAGTTGAAAATTAAGTCTTCTTGTATATTAATTTTTTTCTATTCTAACATTTAAATTAATAAAATTGTTAATGTTTTAAATACATTCCATCTTCATAAAGCAACATTTTAGATCAACACGGCAATTTATTTAACCCCTAAAAATAAATATTTTGTTAAAGAACCCAACAACTTTGGTTGTCTGTGATAATAAGTTTCATTTAACGAATTTTAATATATACACAGTTTATTGTCAATTTTAATAGGTTTTAACAAAATATCTATAATCGCTAATAATATTAAAAAATTTGAATAAAAATTACCGCAAACTAAAAAAGCCTCATAAATTTTAGAATTGTCAAAATAACTTGTGATTAAAATGCATTTACGGATTTAAAACAATAGTCAAGGTTAAAATGTATCCCTATTCATAACCACATCACAAAAATATGTTTTAAGTTTTTAAATTAAAAAATATACAAAAAGTCAATTAATATCAATGTGGCTATGAGTAAGGACTTATAGTTTTTATTATTGTAGATTCAATATTTTTATTTTATTCAGTTAATTTTATTTATTTTAATAATATATAAAAAGTGTCTTATACGGGGTTTTCCGAAAATGGCGCTCCTATATAGTTTTTAATTTAAATTAATCTTAGTTTTTTGTCATTAATAAAAAATAATTACTCCACCTTAAAAATATAACAAATTCATAACTTTATCCTTGACAAACATTTCTTGAACTTGACTGTTGTGGGCCATTTTTGAAACACCCTGTAGATTATATTTGTTATCAGTCTCATGTATTAACCAGGTTTTTAAGCTTTTACTCAGGTGGCACCCCTTTTAAAATTTAGTCAATAATTTTGCCTTCCCAGTGAACAAAAAGGTCTCCTAAGTTGTCTTCCTCAATAATCTTTTTTTTTGTATAGTTTTTGTGCAATTTTATTTTTGACGGGTTTTATTTCTAGAACGAAATAAAACGTGAAAAACCCTAAAAACTAATTTTAACATTTTACACTGTAGAAGCTAAAGATTTAACCAGTTGCCAAAAAAACAATTTTATAACTGTGTTAATATGATTTCTGTTTGTTAAAAAATTGTTTATAATAAATGCATATGTTTATTGATACTTTAAGTTTTATTATTCCTACCTCATCTTTTTTCATTTGTGGCATGTCCTTTTTTATTTGCCGAAAATTTATAATCCTAAGATGGAGTTGATAATATAGAGAGTCATTCAAAGAAAATTTAATGTTTTTATGTTTGGATTGAATCACCCTCTATGTTTGCACTTTTTATTTTGGCTGCATTTTTTGTACTTATGATAGTTGCACAATATTTTTTAATAAACATTATTTAAATTTAATGGTATACGCACATAATTTTTCGGCACAATAAAAATAACGCCTATAATTTAATTAAGTTAGATTAAAGAATTTAATTTAAATAATGTTCCTGTACATCAGAAAGGTAAGTAAAAGTTACATTATTTGTATATAGGCAGAATAATTATTTTTTTGCCCTCTGGACGATTTTTGCACGCCATATACAGAGTTTTTCTACCAAAAATGTGAAGAAAAGTTCCTACTCCTAAACTCTTCATATTTTTGGTATCAGAAAAACACCCTGTAAAAATGTAAAATACTAATACCTTTATAATATTTATATTTCAGAATGGGAAAATTCGGCATTAAGACAAAGAAAACTTAAATGAATTACTAATGAAAATAATTCATATTTTATCACTGATATGTTTAAGTATAATCAAAACCTTTGTAATATTCGGTTTGTTGACATATATTTTGGATTCTTTAAAAATATGAATTATTTTACTATGTTGGATATTATAAGTATATACAAAAGGAGGGTTCTGGCTCAAAACAAATAATACAGTTCTCTTGTTGGGAGGAGAAATAAAAATCAGTGATTTTTAACTCTCCTCCTATCTAAAATATAGCAAAAATATTTTAAGCCAAAACTCTCCTTTTATATCTACTTAGTTTTTACGATAATTTGACTATTTATTATATTATGGATGGATGATGGGTGTTTTGTATTAGCATTAAGATGGATCTGTACTATTCCAGCTTTTGCATATTTTGTTACATTTTTGCTACGAAAAAATTGATAAAAATATACTGGTCTATAGAAAAATGTAATTTATGCAAAGTCTCCAACTAAACTTTAAAAATCAAATCCTTGGATTATATATTTTTAACAATATTCTATTGACCGGTTTTTTCTAGATTTCTGCAAACCATTTTTTTAAAGTAATGTTAAACTTGGGCTGTAGTTTTTTACTTAATAAATATACATCTGAGTATATCAATGATAAGTGTAACAATATGCATGATTGTGAAATTCTGTGGACATTCCATATCAATAAAAATATTAAAATTAAAACAGCTTTCTAGAAACAACTTTTAGAAAACAATAATATTTAAAATGCTACTTAAAATATTATGGAATGGCTGGATTTTGGATGTTATTCTTTTTTGTTTTCTATTGGTGTTTCCTATTGGTGGGAATTAAAACAAGAAATGTACCTAGAGCTTGAAATTTTTAACAAATTTGTCGCCAAACTCAACAAAAAACGTTTTTTTAATTTAAATGCTAAATTATTGTATGAAAAAATGCTAAATATTAAAGTTGTGATCTGAAAAATTTCCATACAAAATTAAGAAGTTTTATAATCAAAATATAAAAAAATTGTTAATTAGCTTTGGCGTCCTCCATATCTTTTAGGAACTAAATACAGTTTTGTTTTACAATTATGTTGAGAATTCAAAGCTGCACATTTTTCGTTTTAAGGGATTTTTTCGTTCGGCCAATAGGAAAAAGATAAAACGATTCAAAACATAAAAAACTTTCAGATCTGAACGTTTTTTATGTTTTGAATCAAAAAAATTCGAATAAACTATAATGGTTAGAGTCGCTTATTTCTATTGTGCTATTGCTATTCACAATATGTATGTGATTATTGACCAAAAAATAAATGATATTTAAGAAAAGTGTTTTTTTATTAAACTGAAACAGTATTTAAATACGTATCTATATATGTATATAAATAAATAAATGAATCGCCGTGCGTTATTCCTGCAAAAACATTACAATAGGAAAAACCTAAAGGAACAGAAGGAAAATCGATATCCTTTTTCTATGATTGAAATTTGTGCAACTTTGGATTAATTTGAATAGATGACGTTCGTAGTTGCGCTTCAGAAAAAACATAGGTAACCACAAATTTATTCATTCAATTGTTTTAGCGAGAAATTAGTTTAAATAGTAAAGTTATCAAGGTAAGTTTGACAGATTTAAGCGACTGAAAACAATTCCGTGTCGTTTTACAGTGTTCACCGGGTCATCTGGTTATAAATAAAAAGAAAGTGTATAAAAACATTTATTTACAAATAACAAAAAATAGTAGTCAATGTATTACAAAGATATACACAAAAGATCAACTTTTATTTCTATGTAAAGATATAACTTTCATGCGAAATTAGTTTTTGCTTATTATGACACTCTGTGATCCAGTGTGAAGAAACGCAAGCACTATTACTATTTATTTCTTTAATAGTGTCCACGTTTTCGGATTTTGTTATAATGTAATCTATTTCATCTGTTGGGTCATCCACCAACAACCTAAAAAAAATATTATTAGCCGTTATTACCTTAGTGTCACTCTTAAATATAAGGTTACTTACCCTTTGTATGCCACAATGTATCGTCTCAAAAAAGCGATTTTATTGGCGACAAAAGAGGAGTCAATGTAAAACTTTTTGTCATCGAAAAAGTCTTTGAGTTTTTTCGGCGACTTTTTGGGTTTCGCTATTTCTTCCGATAGGTCGTCCGAATCTGTATCCACGCTGTATATATCGCTCGATGTTTTTATGTTTTGCGGCACTTTCACTATTTGGACGTCATCGTCGGTGTCAGATCCACAACCGTTTCTTAAAAAAAATTATTAGGTAGGTATGCTGAGCTAGGGAATAAAATTTGCTTACTGTTTGGATATTTTTTGTGTTTTCTCGATTTTTTCTTCTGTATCTGTACTGAGCTGGCGTCTTCTAAAATTTTATGATTTTATTCAGAAAAAAATGAACTTTTTTGGTTGGAAAAAAATTCTGACAAACATTTTAGTAGGGTCATATATTATTAAATACTTACATTACTTTTGATGAACTGCTTGCTTTGGGTGAATCGGTAACTAGTTTTCTGAAAACATAATATAAATTGGTAGGTGAATAAAAAAAATATTTCAATGTTTATACTTTGCAGTTGTTTCCATTTTTCTTATAGCTTCTATTTCATCTTCTGTGTCTGAACCTTTACTGAAAGAAATATACTTTTTGAAAAAACATGTTTGGTAAATTTAATAAAACGAAATATTGCTATTATTTACAAAATAATTATTATCAAGATTATTTCCCTTATTATAATATGAACCAATCAAAAGCCTTGAATTTTCGAATAAATTTCGTTTAAATAAGCGATTAAATCACTAGAACTATTTAACAGCGATTAAATTTTAGCCTCCATATTGGATTTTTGTTTACGATTTTATGGTGTTATTTACAAGTTTTAACAAAATTTTTTTAAAAAACAATAAAAAATAAGTTATCTAGTTTACGAAATATCAATTATTACTTATTAAATACCTATCTTAAATTAATGGAATTTTCTTTAAAAAAATATTTATAAATTTTGACACATACATCATATTTTATGAATTGTCAAATAGTTTCCTTTAATTCGAGAAATAATCTAGACGTATATCACTCAACCTATAAATTTAATTTGTCAAACTATGCTCAGTGAGTTTTTTATTTGATTTTTCTTTTTGGAAAATAGTTTCATGCAAAATAATTAAAAATAAAACCTCTGATTTTATTAAATTATTTTGCATTCAACATTTTCCAAGAAAACCAAACAAAAAACTACTGAGCCTAGTTTAACCGATTAAATTCATAGTTCTCGTGATATAATATATGATTATTTCACTAAAAAAATCGTTTTCAGCAAAAATTCAAAATGCTGTTGTTGTCGAGTTGTTGTAAGAAGAATTTTATTCCAATTATAATAAATTTACAGATTTGTAGCTTTCATCATACCTATTTTGAGATGTTGCAGGTTCATCTTCATCTAGTTTCTCGAAAATTTCTTCTTCACTTTCATCCTGACTTTTGTCATCTCTATCCAGAGCATACCTTCTCCAAGGCATCCGCTTTCGCTCCCTGTACGAATCCTCTATCCACTTTTTGGTCACTATCTTTCCCTTACCTTTGACCTGATTGAATTTTGGCGTGTTTTGAAAAGCGCAACTAAAAACGTTTTTTAACTGATTATTGAAGATTTAAAATTGGCGAACTTTTTTTACATTAAGTGGGTACAACTTCCCTCCCAGTCAGGTTTGTATTTGGCGCCCATACAAAGCGCTGAAGTTCTTAAATTCGCCCTGTCAGGATTTTGTATGCCGCTTATTACAAGGACCACATCTTCCAATAGTTTATTGAATGGTTTAGATTTTTTCGCGATTTTTGGTTTTTTAACGCTTGAACTTGCCACTGCTTCATCATTCTTTCTTTTATTGATATTATTATTGTTGTTTTGCAATTTAGTATTCTCACTTAGTTTTGTTTCTTCATTTTTGTGTTTTTTGTCTGTTTTACTGGATTCTTTTCTTGCTTTATTTTTATCCGAATCTTTATTGTCGTTTATTTTTCTGTTCTGTTTGGGCGTTTTTTCTTTTAGTTCCCTTTCTTCCTTTTCTTCTTTTTTTTTCTCTATGATTTTGTCAATTTTTTCATTTCTATCCTCTTCATCTTGTTGGTACAACAATTCATTCCTATTTCTGGCTTTGGGTTTTTCTTCATTATTATCCAGAGATTTTTTTTTGCTACCACTACCATTTGGTATAATTTTGATTTTTTTTTTATTTTTCGGAGTCCCATACTCAGCCAAGGATGTAGCTTCTCTTATGGCAGCTGCAGCTATTTTGAAAAGTATTTAAAATGCACCATGGTTATATTTCTATTTTTCCACATTTTATTTACTCTAAAGAGCTATATAGCATATACATATGTTTAGAATAGAATAGAGTTTTATTAAAGTAATAAAAATTACATAGGTACCTATATTGCATTTAAAAATATTACAAGGAAAAAAATTAAATACAAATATAAAAAGTATAGCACAGATAAAACAGGTAAATAAAAATAATAAACAAATAGGGTAAAGGCACCAGTAATTGTCACTGTACCAGTAGTTGCCATTTATTATTTAGAAATTCAAAAACAAAGCTATATGCAATATCTGTGCATATGGCGCACTGCCTATGTGTAAGGAAGTGTACACCGAAAAAAATATATTCGTTGAGTTAACATTTGCCTAAATGTCATTTTTGAAAATATTGTTTCAACAAAAAACCTATTGGATTAATCTATATTTTGGTGTCAAAGCAATAGTCAGAGTTTGTCAAAGTTTATTTGTTCATTTGACAATTTAAAATATTGATCTTACATGAACTAATTGTTTGAATTAAAGTTTTTATCCTATTTTGATTTAATAGCTGGAATTGGTTAAATCAAATACTAAAATTGTTGGGATTACCTAAAAAAACTATTAGATTAACGTTTAGTTGCTGTTTAATCCACAACATTAAATTTGTTCATTTAACAAATTGTAAATGTTATTTTAAAATTTAAAATGTTAAATTTGCATTCATAAAGTTGCCTTAACACTCTAAGAATGTTAAATTAACAAAATTAGCAGATTGGAACAAATATCCTAATTTTGTTCATTTGACTGTTATTTGTTGTTCAATTAAACAATACAATTTGACATTTTTAGATGGTTAAGTAAACGTGCAAAAACCATTGCTTGTATTTAAAGTGCATAAAGAGTTGAATTAATATTTTTTTTGTTGTTTCAACAGCTTATTTTTTTCAGTGTATCTAGCGTATTATGTATTTAGAACAACTGTCACCAGGTGGCGCATTTTTCGACAGGAAAAACATATTCAGGCAACTTGTTGAATCAGCTGTTTATAAAAGATTTCTTGTGACTTTGGTTAAGAAAGTGTAAGATTAGTTTTTCGTGATATTGGCATATGTTGTTAATCAATTTGAGTTTTGTTTGTGCAGTAGGCATATATGCTAAGTAGTTTAAATGAAACGCATATAAATTGTTCGTTAAATTAAAAGAGTATTTTGATTTAAAGTAGTGGCAATTACTGAAGCATTTTTTTCTTTTAACCCAATATTTGCCATTTGTGGTAATTAGCTACTGGAGAATTTTGGATTATCGTATTACCTTTATTAAAGCTATAAACTAACCTATAATATTTAGTTTATACTTGACATTAAAAAGAACATTATATTCAAAGAGAATCCAGTAATTTCCACCTCTTTTTGAATGTGTCAATTACTGGTTCACTTTGGTGGCAATTATTGATCCAGGTATAAAATCCAAATTGATCAACATGGAACCAAAAAACAAGCCCTTTTTTCGCTATTCCCAAGAAAGTAAAGAATCTGCATTGGCTGCTTGCCAAGGTGGTTTGCCATTTTTCATTTTTTTTTGTTTTATTTAATAAAATAAATTAGTGGCAATTACTGGCCAGGTACACTGGCAACTACTGGTTTTTTTAAAAATGGTCATGGCAATTACTAGTCCTCTATACCTCAATAAAAAAAATCTATTGTACTTAGTTATGTATTTAATTTTTAATCTTTGGTAATATAGTTACCTTCTATAAGTATCTATTAATCACGATGGCTTTTTATTAGGACGAAATCTAAATTTCTTCTGGTACTTTTTTAGCTTTTTTGTGTAAACACTAGCTTATAATGGCAATTACTGGTGTCATTACCCTACGTTACGGAAATTTTTTTTAAAATTTATAATTAAAAAATTCTTCAAGGTTTTAAAAAAGATTTAATAACAAACTGAATTATTGCATTGCAAAAGATTGTTTAGATATAAGTAGGCAACCCGGATTACGACGAATCACTCACGTGTAATGTGGGTTGCCGCAGCTAGCAAAAATAAACTTAAAACTTACCTTTCAAAGGCTCCTCTTTTAATATCTCCTTCCTTCTGGCAAACAAACTCCCTGCGCTTAAATTATCAGGCGATTCAGGCCTCAAAGTAAATTTACCTATTGTGGCTGCCATATTACTCGGCTTACAGTCCACCTTAACACTCTCATTGTTGTGCAAGTTAATAAAAGACAGCCCGTACTGCACGTGCCTGTTGAAAGGCTGAGTGCACACAATTTTAACTCTATCCCACTTTTCATTACGTTCGGGCTCTGATAACTCGTCGAACTTGAACATTCTCACTTTATTGATGCAGTTGCCTTGCCTGGCTTCCAAAGGCGTCATAAATGAAGACATGACCAGCAAAGGTTTGTAATCATCGGTTGCGCTCGAACGAGACACAAGAATTTCAACGAAAGCTGAATTTTCGTTTCCCACGTCTATGCTGGTGATTTTGCTGGCTTTTTCCAATTGCAAGACTATATTCGCGTTTATTTCGCCTGGGGTACGGCTTTTCCATTTCTTTGCCGGATCGGGTATAAGTATGTTATTGGCTACATGCACCTAAAAATTAAATACGTAATTTTCAAATGATTTTTAAATGTTTTCTACTCACCGAGTCTTCGCTGCTGAAGCTTACAATGTGGTCGAATTTAATTTTCGGCATATTAATTTCTTATTTGATGTAACGAATAAACAAACAGCCCGCTTTTTATGATACGCATAACCTTAAATTTGTTTTGAATTGTTGATTCAGAGTTGCCAACATGGAGCCAACATGTAGGCTCCATGGTTGCCAATGTCATAAAAACAATTTTACTAGATTTAAAATTGACAGATTTAAAAGTATCAGAAGTTCTGATTCAGAACTGTCAAAAATGAACAAAACTATAGAAACAAGTCTAGACTTCGTGTCTATAAATTAGAAGAGGAAAAGAGTGGGTAAGTGTTATCATAACTGTGTATAAAATTATGAATTAAACATATATTTATCACAGTGTTAGATAAATGGAATTAAATAATTAAATAGAAATTATAATTTATATATAAACCTAATTTTTCTACTCCTATTGCATATTATTGACATTAGTCGTTTTTTTTTTGTTTATAATAGTAACTATCAAGAACACTATCATAGAAAAAGGATACACAATGTCATAACAGTATACCGTTGAGTCAATGTGAATACTTTGTTCTTGCAAGGTAATGGTACCATGGTAACCATTATAACCTAACAACGGGAATAATGAACTCATTATTCACGTTGCTAGGCATCATGATGCCTGATGCAGTGATTGGTCGATTTCAATATTCACTGTGATTTGAACGAATCGGGATTTAAATTGGGAAAAAGTGAGGTTTGAGGCTCAAACCTCAAACCTCAAACTTTGAGCTGACTAACAAAGTTAGGTATAATTATCCGCCGTGTCTAGAGTCCCGTCAGACGATTCCCTATTGCGCTCCCGTTAACAGAGTGACGTCATCCAATGACGCAATATTAGGACGGGAAGCAGATCTTTTTTCCTTAACTAACGTCCCGAGTCCGCCCGCTTCGAAACCAACCCAAACCCAACAACCCAACCCAACCGACCCCGCCCCATTGGCCCCCCCCGCCCCATTGGTCAAATGGTCAAAAATGAGAAAAAACAACCCAAACCCACCCAAACTCTTAAGACGTCTATAAAAAGACGTCTTTCAGACGTTTTTTTTTAGATCGTCAGACGCATATACCTACCTATATAGTTATAGGTATATGGTCAGACGTTCAGGCATAATACAGTCATACAAAAGACATATTTAAGACGTTCTTCTTCTTCCTTGTTGGCTAAAGGCCTCAATGGTCTCGGTTTCAATGTACCACCTTGTCCAGAAGCAACGTCCATGCGTTTCAAGAAGCCATCCACCCATAGACACGTGAATTTTCCAATCTTGGAACATCCACTAAATCTTTTGTACAAATTACAAAATACCTCGCTAAAAGGTCGAAGCCTGCGATATTGTTCAAAAATACAGGTATATTTCTATACCCGGAATCCAACTTTGTACCTCCTGGGTCAAAGTCAGCTATGTTTCACACTTATTATTATTTCATTTAGTTGGAAAAGTGAAATTTTTAAAAATTTCAAATTTCGAAAATTTCAACATTGCCTGTGAAACTTTCAGAATTTTCATTGAAAGTTTCGCAATTTACTGAAAATTTCGCATAAATTTCACATGCGGCCTCCCCTGGGACCTGTAATTAAAGATTCGGAATCTGTTGTAAATTATTATTAATAATAATTTACAACAGATTCCGAATCGAACAATAAGAACGAGTTATCAAGCGTCTGGGCGTTTTTGTTTAGTTCGGCTTGAATATGACTAAAGGGGACATTATTTGGTGCTACCGCTAGCCACCCCTTACCCCTACTTAAGGGTGAAACGGGGGGTAACTTTGGAAAGTCAAATGGAATGACCCGATTTTTTTCACAGAGTTTTTGTAGTACATAAAAAAATAAATAACTTTTATTTAAAACTTTTTTCAATTTATCAACAGATGACGCTGTAATTCAAAATTTAAGAAAAATGAGTTTCCTTGTAAAATGTATTATTTGAAACGTTTGAAAAACAAAAATTAACATTAACAACAATAGTCGGCTATGAAAACAATTTATAACAAATGTTCGAAATGTCGTCATTCCATTTCAACACATTTTTGAATGCGGGTAATGAATTCTGGCACACAACGCGCCAACATATCGGGCGGTATCGCCGCACAGGCGTTCCTGATCCGCTCCACCATGTCCTCCCAAGTTGTAGGAATTGCAGCGTAAACTTTTTCTTTCAAGTAACCCCACTGGAAGAAGTCTGGTGGCGTAAGATCAGGTGATCGAGCAGGCCAAATTACTGGACCACGTCTACCGATCCACCGCGGTGCACCGGCCATTGAACTCCCGATCCAACACCTCTCGAGCAATTGTCGAATAATGTGCAGGACAACCATCTTCAAGATGGCATCTTGCTGGTACCACATGTTTTGGAGCCGTGCTAGTGGTACATCCTCCAAAAGGTCCGTCAGATCGTTTTCTAGAAAATTCCGGTACTTTTCGCCATTTAATGCACCGTCAATAAAGAAGGGTCCGATTAATCGTTCGCTTAAGGTACCGCACCAAACGTTTACCGACCAGGGACGCTGGTGCTCCATTTGGTGTCGAAATGGAAGGACGACATTTCGAACATTTGTTATAAATTGTTTTCAGAGCCGACTATTGTTGATTTAATGTTAATTTTTGTTTTTCAAACGTTTCAAATAATACATTTTACAAGGAAACCCCTTTTTCTTAAATTTTGAATTACAGCTTCATCTGTTGATAAATTGAAAAAAACTTTCAAATAAAAGTTATTCATTTTTTTATGTACTACCAAACTCTGTGAAAAAAAATCGGGTCATTCCATTTGACTTTCCAAAGTTACCCCCCGTTTCACCCTTAAGGAGGGGTAGGGGGTGGCTAGCGGTAGCACCAAATATTTATATAATGTCCCCTTTGGTCACATTAACCATTTATTTAAGACATTTTTCCCTGAAATGCGTATTTCTCGAGATATTGAGCTGTCACAAGTTAAAAGAAACACCCTGTATATTAGGGTGTTTCATTTTTCCAAAGATGTGATTTTCATACGACTTTGCTTACGCCCCGAGTCTCAGTAATGAAAAAGATATATATGCCAAATTTTAAGAAGATTGGATAAAATTTAGGGGTGGCACACATTGACCACTTTTATCTCATACTAGTGAAATTTAGGAATCCGGAATTTTGTTGGAAAGGAATTTGTTTGAACCATTTGAAACATTTCATTTTATTTGTAAGGTAAAATAATAATTGTTATTGTAATTACATTAATCCATATTTATCTCTGCATTTATAAATAGGTATACCTAAATTGGTTTAAATTCCCTTACAACAATTGACAACCTCAGTTATAGAACCGAAATTAAACTTTAAAATGGGAACCAAAAGAGGAATTTGGCTGCTAGAAAAGTTGCCTAGTGATGAGTTTTTAGGAGCGCGGCTCCCTTCAAAGGAACAAGTACTTTTAGTTTTTATTTACCATCACAAGGAAATGAAAGAAACACTTTCGGGTGCTGCTAAATCTACCAGTACTAAACTACAGGAAGTGTGGAGGAAAGCAAATATTCCTGTTAAGACGGAGGAGAATATCCGTGCTGGTATACAGAAACTGTACAAAGAATACAGAAATATGGGTAAAGAGAAATCAAGAAACACGGATAAAGCAAATGTGAGAAGGCAGATTTGCAAAGGTGACCTCGTCGAGTTATTTGACATTTCCCGGAAAAATGTGATGGAAATGTCTAGCTTATCACAAGAAGATAAAGAATTTCTTAGGTCACAAAGAGAAGATCGCATGAGTTCGTCAATGGGTGGAGTAGTCAAGGTTTTCGCCTCGAAATTAAGTACTAAGTGTAGAAAAGAAGAAAAAAAAGAATCATATAAGAATAAACATTACAAAGCTATCACTGAAATTAATAAAACAGTAATAATGAAAGACTTATCTTCATCATCATTTGGTTTTGCATTGGGATAGTAAACTGTTGCCCTCAGTTGCCCATAGAAGTGTCAAAACTTTGGAAGATAGAGTTGCAGTTCTAGTGAGTGGCAAAGATTTTGAGCATTTGCTTGGCGTACCTGTTGCCCTGAAAGGCACTAGTGAGCAGATGGCTGAAGTAGTTATTCGGGAAGTGGACCGATTTGGGCTACGTGACAATATCATCGGTATATCTTTTGATACTACAGCATCTAATACAGGACTGATCCAAGGGGCATGTACCAGAATTGAAAGGGAATTCGGACGAACATTGTTGTGGTTGGCTTGCCGTCATCATACCCATGAACTAATAATAAAAGGAGTGTTTGAGGAGTGTTGTAGCGTACCATCAAGTGGTCCGGAAATCCAAATTTTTCAAAAGTTTAAAACTTTGTGGGCTTCACTTGATAAGAAGTCATATACGACAATGCTGGATGAAGAAAGTCCCGTTCAAGGCTTTCTAGAGGAACAACGAGTGAAAATGGTTAACTACATACAAAATGTCCTAAAAGACGGAAGTCATCCAAGAGAAGACTACAAAGAGTTATTACAACTCTCACTTCTGTACCTAGGGGGTTGGTCCAAAAACGACTTCAGTTTCAGGGTCCCAGGGGCTCTGCATCAAGCAAGGTGGATGGCAAAGGCAATATATGCACTTAAAATTGTTCTCTTCACTACACAGTTGAATATTCCCCAACGAGAATTGAAAGGAATGAAACAGGTTGCACATTTTGTCAGCCTCATATATGTTCGCTTTTGGCACGAGGCAATTGTAAGTCGATGGGCTCCAAAAAATGATTTGGATATGCTACAGCTTCTGAGTACTTACCCAGACGCAAACGTCAGAAAAAGTGCTCTCACAGTTGCTAAGAGACACCTTTGGTATCTGTCGGAAACAAACGTAGGATTAGCTTTTTTTGACGAACGTATTACTCATGCTGTTAAGGAAAATATGACTACAAATTTAGAAACCAAACCTGCAAAGAAAAAGGAAATGAAACGATTAGAGGGTAAAAACCTAGTTTTGAAGGAAAAGACCTGAGCCATTTTGTTACTAATAAAACAAAAACATTCTTTGAAATGTTTGGGATCAACGACGTGACAGAATACTGCACTGATTCTCTAAGAAGCCACGTGAATGCTCTTAAGGTGGTCAATGATACCGCAGAAAGAGGAATTGCTCTGATAAAAAAATTTAACGAATCTGTCAGGAACGAGGAACAAAAACAATTCCTATTGAGGGTAGTCGAGCATCACAGACAAGTCGTCACTAAGCGAACAAAAGAAGGGATTGCATCGTTCAAAGTTGATTAATAACACATGTTTTGCCTAACACACTACTTATTAATATTAGTTTCTAGTTTTAATATTATTTTATTTTTGTGATTTCTAGTTTTCCCAATAAAAGTATTTAACATTGAAAAATCGTATTTTTGCCTACCTTTAAAAAACTGTTCAAAGTGTGCCACCTCTAAATATTATCCAATCTTCTTGAAATTTGGCGTACATATATTTTACATCACGGAGACTCGGGGCGCGAGCAAAGTCTGCACAAATTTTACATTTTATTTTTTACCCTACAAAATGAAACACCCTACTGTATATATATACATATATATATATATATATATATATATATATATATATATATATATACAGGGTGTCCCACAATTAGTGCGACAAAATGAAGGTGTATTATCTAAAGACCCCCAGGAATTCCAGAAAATTGTTTAATAAATTCTTTCTTTATTATTTAATAAGATACAGGGGAGTCATATTTTCTTTATAAGGCAACATTGCCTCATAACAAAGTAATAGTTTAATTCTTAATCATCATGACAACAAACAACAATGTTAGAAAATGTCAAATTTAAATGTCAAAATTTGTTACTTTAAGTTGTAGGTTATTTATTTTACGTCAGACTGGATAGAAAAAAATACAGGGAGTCCCTGTCTGACGTAAAATAAATAACCTATAACTTAAAGTAACAAATTTTGACATTTAAATTTGGCATTTTCTAACATTGTTGTTTGTTGTCATGATGATTAAGAATTAAACTATTACTTTGTTATGAGGCAATGTTGCCATATAAAGAAAATATGACTCCCCTGTATCTTATTAAATAATGAAGAAATAATTTTTTAAACAATTTTCTGGAATTCCTGGGGGTCTTTAGATAATACACCTTCATTTTGTCGCACTAATTGTGGGACACCCTGTATATATATATATATATATATATATATATATATATAAAACAATGAAAGTGGCACAATCTCATTAGCTTACCAAAAAGTGCTATATCTCTCTTAGTTTTAGTAATTTTAAAAATATTTTAAAAGAAAATCTCAAGAAATTTGTGGTAAACATAAGTATTTACTATTTATATTATTGGTGCAGGGGCCCACAGAGGGGTAGGAGGTAAGAGAGGCAATTTGCCATGGTCACCGAGTGGGCTTATTTCAATATTAATATATTACACTTAAAGTGATTGAAATTTATTGAAAGTTTCAATATCATAAATTTCATGAAATTTCAGACATTTAGGAAATTTTAATAAATTTCAAGTGAAATTTCAAGTACAAGCAAAAAGTGAAATTTTCCCAACCCTATTCACATTTTTTCATCGAGCGATGGCCCAGAGCTGAGAATGCGATGCCCTACACATGAAGGACAAAATCGAACTTCAAGACGTTGTGTGCTATCTGGGAATCATAGACAAAAAATAATTGGCTAATTATAACCACTTTATTATTCAGTACATTGAATCTACTTGCAAGTTCACCCAAGGGTGAAGTAACGAAATAAGTTTTTCGGGGGTAGGTACATAATTAACAACATAGCACCCAAAAACAAGCAGTGTTTTAAACAAAGACTGGCTGAAGCTGAGGTGGTGTTTTGGGTGGTGGTGTTACTATTATTAAAATTGTGTTCAGGTTCTTCATTTTCCACATAGAGGTCATCTGGAACATCCTTATATGCCAAGTACTCTTCATCCGAAGGTCCTACCCAGATCGCAGCCCCTGAAAGTTTGCGAGGTACAGGCAAAATTTCTCCGCACAAGTTTGGATAATTATTGTTGGGTTGTGGTGCGCGAGGAGGACACTTGGAGGCCGGCGGTCCATTATTCCACTGTGTTGTGTTGCGTTTATCGGGAAATGCGCACAAGAAAGTATACTCCACCATGTAACCTGGATTGAACACCCTAGTGTTGAAAGAACAACCGATTTTATTGTTACTTGGTTTGATATAGACGCATATAGGCTCTTTAGACTTATTGCAGAGAAATCGTATTCTTTCCTCTAAATCTGCCTTCTTAAAAAATTCATTCTCATCGTATTTTGATATATTTTTTTGTTTAGATACCGTGAATGGGAATTTCGACTTGTTTAATTGTAAACAGTTGACCTGGTCTCGGTTGTCAATCTGGTTGTTAATACACTGCGCCATATACTCCAGCTCCATGTCGTAGCGAACAACATCAATGTCGGACAAATTGTGTATTCCTGCTTCCTCATTTCTGAAGTTGTTCATTATGTCGACCATCATTTGACGCTTATCTACGTCCATTTTTTCCATGTGGCAGTTGAAGTCGGGGCGACATCGGTTATTGCAAAGATAATTTCCTACCTTGATACCACTTTTGAAATCGGTGCAGTTGTGCTGGCAATAGTCGACCCGACCCTCAGAAAGGCTTAATTCCAAGATTACCATTAATAGTGATATTAAAAATGAAAGCATTTTTAACATTTCAAACTTATTTGACGTATTTTGTTCACATGGAGACGGAGAGCAACCATAGACAGGAAAAGGTATAGACGTCGCGTCGTGAGGTTGGGTTGGGGGGTATTATCTTTGGGTATATAATCAGGCCCGTTCCTGGGGTGTCTGGCGCCTGCGTGCAGCATTCGTTGGTGCGCCCCTTTTATATTTAAATATAATACATTAAATATTTGAATTTAAAGCAGTAAAATTTAAAAAAACCGTATAAAAAATATATATTAAATTACCAAACAAACAAGTAATATCATAAGGGCATCTATTTTTTCAAAAAAAATCGAAAAAACACGTTGCTAAGTAATAATAATATTAGTAATAATAATAATAATAATAATAGTAATAATAATATTATAACAAGAAGCATGAGTGCTGGTGGCAACAAAAATCCGAGTCGAAGACGAGGATTTTTGCACCTGCACGAATGCATTTTGTTAAAAAATATTACTTAGCATTGTGTTTTAACGATTTTTTTCATAGGAAAAGTTAGATGCCCAAATGGTATTTGACAAGACTATTTCATGAGTAACAGTTAACAATTAAAATATAAATTGTAATTTTTGGTGACAACAGCTGTCAAGTTTTGCCGCGGGTAAACCCGAAAAAACTGCTGACAGGTGCTGTCATACAGTTTTTCCACCTAGAAACCATTTGTAGTTCAAAATTGCGCGTTTGTGATTGGTGGAAATTAAGACGAGGGAAATAGTCGTAAGTAATATCATAAGGGCATTTAATTTTTCCGAAAAGAATCGAAAAAGCACGTTGCTAAGTAATATTTTAACAAAAAGCATGAGTGCTGGTGGCAACAAAAATCCGAGTCGAAGAGGAGGATTTTTGCACCAGCACGAATGCATTTTGTTAAAAAATATTACTTAGCATTGTGTTTTTTCGATTTTTTTCAGAGGAAAAATTAGATGCCCGAATGGTATTTGACAAGACTATTTCATGAGTAACAGTTAACAATTAAAATATAAATTGCAATTTTTGGTGACAACAGCTGTCAAGTTTTGCCGCGGGTAAACTCGAATAAACTGCTGACAGGTGCTGTCATACATTTTTTCCACCTAGAAACCATTTGTAGTTCAAAATTGCGCGTTTGTGATTGGTGGAAATTAAGACGAGGGAAATAGTCAGTGATAAAAATACTCTAAAGAAAAAAAAAACAATCTAAACAATATAATAACTACAACTGGTTTTTAGTGACGTACTCTCTAAAAATGACTGGTTTTCAAAGTAAAAAAGCAGTCACTAATAACTTTAGTCCACAGCTACTTGTATCCCGGGCATTTAACAGCTTATTATTATGTCCCCTGAATCCGAAAATACCGTCAAAAATTATAAAAGTAAAGCAGTTTTTAAGATATAGTCAATACCATATTATATGGAAAATTTACTAAATCTCAAAAATGTTCTACTTTTATAAATTTTGACGAAATTTTCGGATTCAGCGGACAATTTTACATAGGAGTTGACTGCTAAATATCCGGGATACAAATTACTATTGGCAATAATTATTAGTCTCTGCTTTTTCGCTATTGCAATTAGACTAATTGAATTAGTCATTTTTGAATAATTTCATTTTAGAGAGTTACTACTGTTAAACTTTGCTACCGTCAACTGCATACTAAAGATAATATGACCATTTCCCTCCTTTTATTTTGATCCTCATATCAAAACAAAATAATCAGCCAATATCAAAGCGGCAAAAGGCGCTTTATAGCGACCGAAAAAAGGCAGAAACCTTTATCCAATGTATGTTTAAGTATCATATGCAAGAAAGTTTATCGTTACAAAGTACTGATTGACTCTTTGATTTTGCGCCCTCGAAATGTTGCGCCTGCGTGCGTGCACGCACTGCACGTTTGCCAGGAACGGGCCTGTATATAATAATAATACTTTATTCATGCTTAAAAACAATACAAAATTGTGTGCACAAGTCGGGAACATAAATTAATAAATATATAATTATAAACTACACTAATTATAAATAAAAGAAAAGAGTAAATACAAGAAAATTCGTTGCATAATAAAATAAAGAATACAACAAATATAAACAAGCAAATAAAAGAATAAAAAAAAATACAATTAAAAAACATTAATAATCAAAACACTACATGGCATCAATACATTACATTACTATCACAATATTCCAAAAACTCTTTCGTGCTATAAAAACAATGCTCTAAAAAAAACAATTTCAAAGAAGATTTCAATTTTTTTAGAGAATATTTTTTCCAACTAGGTGGAATCTTGTAAAATATCACCGACTGCTGCATTTTAGAGAGCCTGCATTTTGGCAGAGCTATCAAGCCCCTATTTCTAGTATCATGACCATGATGATCCCCCTGGCACTGATAGTCCTCAGAATGAGCATACAAGATACAGTCCAAGATATACTGACCACTAAGGGTCAAAATCTTTAGATATTGGCCTACAGTGATCAGTATATCCAGCACCATAAATAGTTCTCACAGCTTGCTTCTGCAAAAGGAAAACTTTGTAAGAATTAGAAGAATTTCCCCATGCCAAAATAGCATAAGATAAATGGCTATGAAAAACAGCAAAATATATATTTGACATATGTCATTCTGAGTACACTTCTCGATAATAGACTATGAAGTTGTCTGAGCAAATATATGCTTTTTGACAACTTACTTAGTAAACTTAAAACATGTGCCTTAAAGTCCATTCTACTATCCAGGTATATTCCCAAATATTTAATTGAAAGCTGATTATTAAAAGGTTGTAAAGTACACGGAAAAAAATCCCTTACTAGGTTTAAGAATAGTTCTATACTTCAAGTTAGGAACTTGATTTAAGTATATTTATTATTTCTATGAGATTAGCGTACATTTAAACTAAGTAATGGGATATACTTAATTTTTAAGAAAAACTGTTACTTGATTTGAGATGAGTATTCTTGGATTGAGTTTAAAGGTATTTTATTTTAAAGAAAATTGGTATACTTAAATCAAATATACAATAATGCTTAGATGAAAGAGCTCTAGTTTTTTACTCAAAGCGGAATATTGCCACTTATTTTAAGTATTCTGTATATTTGTATGAAATTTCGGTATACTTTATTTAAATATATGTATATTTAATACAAGAACGCTTATACTTCAATTTAAGTATAAGACCTCTAGAACAAAGAATACACTATACTTTATTTAAGTATAGCTTTTATTAAAACAAATACCTAATTCTTCGCTTAAGTAAATACCGTCCACCCTCTAAGACCGCTTCGCTAAAAGAAAAGACGCAGTTTCTGTGTCCTTTTTCTATGGTTCTGTCCTGTGTTCTATAGTGGTAGCGTGTGTACGTGTCGGCGCCCGGCAGTTCGTTTTTTCCTTTTTCGGTCTGGATATTATTTTTAATAAAAAATAATGGAGAAGAAACTTAAAAATTGGGGCTTAGAATGTTTACTAGACACATTTTTGGGCAAGTAAATATTATTTCATTAATTTAAAGTAATTAACTAGGCATGATCGTAAAAATTTTACACTACAGTATACCTATCCATTTTACACTACATTTTTACGATCATGCCTAGTTAATTACTTTAAATTAATGAAATATTATTTACTTGCCCAAAAATGTGTCTAGTAAACATTCTAAGCCCCAATTTTTAAGTTTCTTCTCCATTATTTTTTATTAAAAATAATATCCAGACCGAAAAAGGAAAAAACGAACTGCCGGGCGCCGACACGTACACACGCTACCACTATAGAACACAGGACAGAACCATAGAAAAAGGACACAGAAACTGCGTCTTTTCTTTTAGCGAAGCGGTCTTAGAGGGTGGACGGTATTTACTTAAGCGAAGAATTAGGTATTTGTTTTAATAAAAGCTATACTTAAATAAAGTATAGTGTATTCTTTGTTCTAGAGGTCTTATACTTAAATTGAAGTATAAGCGTTCTTGTATTAAATATACATATATTTAAATAAAGTATACCGAAATTTCATACAAATATACAGAATACTTAAAATAAGTGGCAATATTCCGCTTTGAGTAAAAAACTAGAGCTCTTTCATCTAAGCATTATTGTATATTTGATTTAAGTATACCAATTTTCTTTAAAATAAAATACCTTTAAACTCAATCCAAGAATACTCATCTCAAATCAAGTAACAGTTTTTCTTAAAAATTAAGTATATCCCATTACTTAGTTTAAATGTACGCTAATCTCATAGAAATAATAAATATACTTAAATCAAGTTCCTAACTTGAAGTATAGAACTATTCTTAAACCTAGTAAGGGATTTTTTTCCGTGTACTTTACAACCTTTTAATAATCAGCTTTCAATTAAATATTTGGGAATATACCTGGATAGTAGAATGGACTTTAAGGCACATGTTTTAAGACAAAAATTTTTACTAAATTTAACAAAGTTTTTTATGAAGGTTTTTTAGTTTACACTCACTGTGAAGGTTAATATTGTTCATTAAAATCATAAAATTAACGAATAGTCACTATCTAAACATTTTGTTTTTCATATTTGTTCTATTAACAAACATCACACACTTAAAACTATCACATTTTTAATAATTGTTTAAACGTAAAATCCACTTAAAACAAAAATTAATTGGGGGCACATTTTTATACTTTATGAAACACACAATCACCCACAATCCACACAACAAAGTCTGTTCTATCTCGTACTAAAAATACAAAAAATCACTGCAACACTGCACAGTTTAACGGCGGCCATTTTTGTTGTTTACAATTTTTGTGCTTTGGGTTTGTGCTCTGTTTATACAGATTAATAATCGTTTTAAACGTTGTGTTTCTCATAGTAAGCCTTAAAAGAGTTCTTAAAGTGCTAAGAACAACCATTTTAATCCTCTATTGTAAAAAATAAACTTTATTTTATCAGGACTGTCATAAAACTGTCAAATGTCAATTTTAAGGTTAAATTATAACCCACAAATTAACCTTCAAATTGTCATTTGACAGCCCTGATAGAATAAGGTATATTTATTATAAAAGAGGAGTAAAATGGTTGTCCTTAGCCTTATTTGAGGCTAACAAGTGCCTCTGTAAGAAACACAACGTTTAAAACAATTATTAAACAGCACAAACCCAAAGCACAAGAATTGTAAACAACAAAAATGGTATTTTTAGCATGAGATAGAATAGACCTTGTTGTGTGAATTGTGGACGTCGTGAGGTTGGGTTGGGGGGTATTATCTTTGGGTATAATGATCTTTTAAAATCGAGAGAAAGTGAGGTTTTAATAATTCTGACATCTGTCAAACAGTATTAACCTCACTTTTAGATAAAAATCATATACAGAGGGTGTCCGGGAAAAGGAGGTCAATCCGTTAACCATATATTCCTTGAGTTAAAACAATAAGACTTTCATAATACCATTTTTCAATTTAGAGCTTCATGTTCGATATACAGGGCGACAAAGTTTGAAATTAAAAACTGATTTTTTTTAATAATTCGAGTAATTGATAAGATACTAAGTTTAAATTCGGTACACTACTTCAACATAAATAGTTACATTTTTTGAGACCAACAAAACAAAAAACAATTGTCAAAAAATTTAAAATAGGGGGGTCCAGTACTCACTGACTCCCCCTATTTTTTAGTACGTGCGCCAATGACTTCCAAACGGAATTTTTTCAGGTAATCATTTATTGTTGAAAATGTTTTGTCTTTTATAAAATTTTGATAAAATGATTTGTTTTAGAGATAATTTGTAAAGTATGGGTCAGTCCATATCAAATTTTCAAAAAAAATTTTTTTTTTGAAAAAATGTAGGTCATGTGATATATCATAAAAAAGTTCTTTAATAGGGCTTTAAAATAAGCCATCACTCACCTTTCTACTTTTAATAGTTTACGAGATATCGCTATTTTTGTAAGTACTTGCAAGACCCAAATTTATCGGAATTTTCAAAAATCAATAAAACAAAAACCACCTATCGAAAAAAATTCATATATGGGATTTTTGAGTTTTTTAGTGAGGTAAACAAATTTACCAAAAATGATCAAAATCGGAGATGGTGGGGGAAGAACCTTTGGTTGATTTGATATGGACTGACCCATACTTTACAAATTATCTCTAAAACAAATCATTTTATCAAAATTTTCTAAGAGACAAATTTTTTTTAGCAATAAATGATTACCTGAAAAAATACCCTTTGGAAGTCATTGGCGCACGTACTAAAAAATAGGGGGAGTCAGTGAGTACTGGACCCCCCTATTTTGATTATTTGACAATTGTTTTTTGTTTTGTTGGTCTCAAAAAATGTAACTATTTATGTTGAAGTAGGGTACCGAATTTAAACTTAGTATCTTATCAATTACTCGAATTATTAAAAAAAATCAGTTTTAAATTTTAAACTTTGTCGCCCTGTATATCGAACATGAAGCTCTAAATTGAAAAATGGTATTATGAAAGTCTTATTGTTTTAACTCAAGGAATATATGGTTAACGGATTGACCTCCTTTTCCCGGACACCCTGTATACATGCGAGAAAAAAATGGAGGTATTTTTACATCAGAAAAATTGTATGGGATCAAATAAAATATAAAAATAAAACGAGCTATCTAAAAAACGATTTATTCATTAAATCTAATCTACAAAATCTATAATTCTGAATGTATTTTAGGCTCATCTGCAGATGGTTTATCTTTGTGCAAAAAAACTTCACGCATATCTACGAACATGTTCCCCATATAAAATTGAGTTACATTTCCATCCATAAAAACATTTTTACTCAGGTCATTTAGTGCATCTTGTACCTCATTTTTGTTGATTTCATTATTTACCATGTGTGCAGTCAAAGCGGCCATGATATTGTTAGCATCTGCGACCAATTGCCTTTCAAAGATGCCGAAAAATTGAGTCATTCTTTGAGTCATTAAAAATAGTCCTGTTTTTAGTGTCGTTACTCCTAGCGATTTAGCTCCTTTCCTTTGTATTACAAAATTTGAATATGACGTATATTCTTTTTTAGCTAACGCTTTTGCGTTTGGTTCTATTGTTTTTATGGCAGAATCTATTTTGGAGTCAACATCATCAAGAGTGATGCCAAGGTTATTTTTTAATTTGTTTGTCACATATAGGGTACGTTTGAATATGTTTGAGAGTTGTTGTTCTATCGCCATGTTGACGTCTTGGGATAACAACCCAAAAAATTGTTTATCCAATTGCTGATCATCTATGTTATCATTAATATCGGATACTTTGCTGGATATACTTTGAGAAATTATATTGAAAAGAGGTTTTGAAAATTCCACGAAATTATTAACATGCAATTCAGCGTAAAATATTTCATCTGGAAGCATCGAATAGGAATATTTATGGCTATTGACCAATGAAACAGCAGAGTTTTTGTATGCTTCCAGGGAAACCTTGATGATTATCTGTAAAACTTGCAAATCCCTCAACAAAACTGATTTTGATATAGTTGTAGAATTCATTTTCAATCCTATATTATAGTAAGAGTTATCCACCGTTGCTACTATAATATTTTTTATTAGAAAGAAAGAAAATTCAAGTACTCTTCTAATGTAATGCATTTCTAACTTGAAAAACTCCACTGCATTGGACCCCACACCTTTATTCTTCACTACAAGAGTGAGTCCAAAGCTCACATATTCTCCTAAATAGGTCTTGGTTGGTTCGTTTACTTCTAAAAGTGCTTTATATAGTATCTCTTCAGCATTAATAAGAGTGTTGTTCAGTTCTCCATCAATTTCTTCAAGCGTATTTCTAGTTTCATCCAGAACATCCTCAATTTTACCTCCACAAGTTGTATTTATATATTCCATCACACTTTTTACTGTGCTGAACTCTACATCGCTTGAGGTGCAATTCTTGTCGAAATCTTCGATAATTTTTTCAACTTTGGCATTTATATCCACATTGAATTTGCTTAAAAATTTACCAATAACATAGGAATATTCGAAGAATTCAGAAGGATAAATTTTCTGGATTGGTTTTGTGGTTATATTAATAATTTCCCCAATAAGGCTTTCGCCATATCTTAAAACCCATTTGCTGTGCCTTGTAATCATAGGCAATATTCTATCCAGAACTTCGTCCAAAGCGGAATCATCAAATTTCTTATAAACCGATAGTTCTTCTATGCTACTCGTTGTTTCAAGTATAGCATTATTGAGGCAGGTAGAGAAAATATTAAGCACTCCTTTAGTCTCGAAGATGATGGTGTCAATAGTTAGCTTTAAAGTGTTGACACCGTAATAGTATTTTCCCTTGGTGGCCTTTATCAGAACTACTGATAGTTTGATGGTGTCTGTAATGGTCTTTTCTATGGATTTTTCCAATGTGGAAAATGGTGAATAGTCTATGTAGTCCAAAGTTTCACCAAGATTATTTTTGAAAGTTGCTAGTGTTTCCAATATTTCCGTACTTTGATTGTTTAGAGTTACAATTATTGCTGTATTTAGTTGAATTCTAAGAGAGTCAATGTTTTTACTACTCTTTATGTTTTCTATGGTGGTATTAACTGATTTAATTATTATCAAACGTTCACCAATAATAAGACCTCGATAATACTCCATAAGTATATCACCAAAAATTCTAGGGTTGGGCGAATCATAGACCACAATATGAATGAATAGATCCAAGGCAGCAATCTCTAACTTTATCATCTTTGTCAAGTTGCAGCAAAGCATTTTCACTTTTGATTTAGCAGAAAACAACTCACCCATCAACGAATCTTTCGTTAAATTGTCATTGCAAACCATTTGTTCTATGTTTATCAATGATTCTTTCAGTGTTGCTTGCTCAGCTAACTCTACATCATCTATGGTGTTACTTAGCACGAAACCATAAACTTGTACACCTTTGGTAAACAGATTAAATCCATCAGAATATGGACTTGCTATTTTAATGCTGCGCGTTGCTAGGTGGTTGAGAATCAGGCTTAATGATGGTTTTAAATCTGCATCTAGAAATTGCAAACCACGTGGTATTTTGTCGTAGTAAAAATTAAGATTTCCTCCAAACTCTTTCACAACATTTAACAAAGTTTCACTAATCTTGTTTTTAAAATCCATATTTAACTTGGTTATTTCTTCCAAAGTTTCATTAACTGATTTTAAAACCGTACCATCAAACTCTTGAGTAGTGTTCATCTTACCTATTAATTCCTCCATTATTTTTTTGGCCCTCTTCACCAAAAACATTACAACCGATTTTGATGCAGATGGCATATCATCGATAATATCACTGGGCTTAAAATATTTCTCTTCTTCCACTGTGGAAACTTCACCTATGGTTTGTTCCCCATTTTCCTCGTACGATTCAGTCCAGTCTTTGGCATAGTAAACTTCACCAGGGATTTTTTGTAACAACTTTGAGAATGAATCGGAGTTGAATTCATTCTTTAAAATAATCTCAGTTAGTTCAGTCGAAAATTTGCTTATTACAGATTTTAATTTAAGGCTGTATATAAAACAGGTTACTTTAACGTCCATGTATACGCTGTTTAAGGCTTTTTTGTAGAATTTAAGAAAATCATAGCGTGTTTTACTTGATGATGATATAATTGATGATAAATCTATTAAGATTTCTTGTACAGACTTTGTTGTGTGATCCAATTCCTTAGTTTTAATGAGGATTTCTTCATCAATGCCTTCTAAGGATGTCTCTAAATTATCACTGATATTCGTTATTGTAGTTAAGGTGAGACATTTTACATAATCCAAGTTTTGCAGCATAGCTTTTCTTAGTTTGTTTTCAACCTCCTTTACAAAAGTCGTGTCTGCAGAGTTATTGTTTTTCTTTTCATAATCCTTAATTATTTTGAAAATACTTTTACTTATTTGGACTGTTATATCTCTAAGATACTTTGAATTAAATCCTAATATGTTTTTAATAACCATTCTGGACTCTGGTAGTTCTAGAGATGTTATGTCCATTATTCTTTGAAGATCGTTGAGTTCCTCATCAATCACCTTTGTAAAACTATCGTGTTGCTTTAAATCTTCCAATATTTCCACCAATTTTTCGTTGGTTAACTTCTTCTTATCAATGAGGCTTCCTGATTTGCTTATGGCATTGTTAATTTTACTATCAAAGTTTTCTTTCAACGAATACACTATGTTATTCACAATGGCATTAATAGAGGTCCAACCATTGACAAAAGTTAAAACTTCATTAGTGCCATCTATATTTATAACAGCATCGGCCAAAATTGTTAAAGATTTTTTGTACTTAACCACGACTGGTTCAAAGTCTCCAAATATATCATTGATGTCTGTGTAGATATTGTTAAGGGTGCCTTTAATGGATAGTCTTAGGTTGTCAAATTTGGTATTAAATATGGTCAGTAAATTTACAACTGAGGCGCCGTTTTTGTGTTTGAGGTCTTCGAATAATTTTTTGATATTGGCAAAGTTATTATCACACGTTCCAATTTCTAATATGGCTACATCAAGACGATTATGTATGTTTGTAGTTATATTTTCTATAAGAGAATGCGATAAACCATGCATCGGTTCAACAATGGAACCAGGATATATAATTTTCATAGGTCTATTCTCTTCTATCACAATGGAGTTGAAATGATCGTAGGCAAAACTTAGACTCCAATCTGTTTGATAGTCAATCTCCTCATAAATTTTCGACAAAGAACTTTTCAGTGTATCGTTGGTTAATTTATTTTCCACAATCAGTTCAAGCAGTTCATTCTTAATCGACATCACAGTATATTGCCACTTGTTGAGTACCAAATCATACATAGAATATAGTGACTTGTTGTACCAATACAACAAGTTTCTTAGCAAATGTGTACCTTGATTCCCTGGACCTACCTGGGCTCTGCATAGAGCTGTTAATGTTTTTAGAAGCCATTGTATGGGTGCCTTGTTGGTTTCACTTAAATTTGATATAGAGGTCTCTATATGTTTATTGGTTGAGTAAATCGACAGTAAAAGGCTATTGGAGTATGCATTTATAGCACTGTCAGCAGGTATTTCTAGGTTCACAAATGACTTTATTAGAGATGCATTAAGAGCTAGCGAGGTTTCTGTAAACCACAGGTCTATATTGGTGTTGGTATCCACCCCTTTGTCTTCTATTCGTTTTATAGTAACTTTAGTTGATCCCAGTATTGCTTTGGTTATTCTATTAAACAGTAATTCATAGAAATGGGAGAGTGTTTTGGTTAGATTCTCAGGGTTCTTGAATTCACCGATGAAAATTCCAAGCATATCCACAATTGTTTGAGATTGCACGTCGAATTTGTTGATTAGTGTTTGAACGGCTCCATACATAAAAGTTTTAACGTGGTTCAACGTTTTTTTCACATTTTCTTCGGTCAACTCACCCTTGGAGTTCATTTGGGTTAGCGTCGCAAATACCCCATCAAATATTTGATCTATGGTCATTTTCATTAGGGTGTTATGATACCTCATGAATTTTTGGGTGTATAACACTATATCTTTAAAGGTTTTTGTTGCCTCAAAACCAACACCTTCAAGTTGAACTGCTACTTTGGATAAATATATAAATCTCTCTTGGACTAATACTGTCAGAACTGTTTCTGTATCTTCCAGATATTCTTCAATTTCCTCACTTATATCGTTTAGAGTGCCGTCCAAGTTATTAAGAAGATTTTGTACTTTATAATCAAGGAAATCATCGAATTTGTTAACTTTCTTAAGGCACGATTTTTGCGTTTTTCTTATGATTATAACGGCTTCCAAAAAAGTTATATTATTAGTTATTTCTTTGGAACCTTCATCTATTATTTTATTATAATCCTTATTCAATGTGTTGTAATACTCTCTTGTTAATTCATAATTTATCGTTTCCATTATGGTTTTTGTACTAGGTTTATTGGTAGGTTTGGTTGTTACTAAATCTGCTATATCCCAGCATGGGCCTATGATGTAGTTATAAACCTTACCTATATCATTGTTAATGTTTACTTCAAGGTTGTTTAAAACCTTCCTAATGTTTGTTTCATGTTTGATAATACTATTTGTTAACTCGCAGGATGTTTGCATAATTGTTGCATTAACGTTTTCTTCCAAAGTAAGATAAGCCGTTTCAACGACAGGCTGAAAGTTCTTGATGATTTTTTTGTATACGTCTGCGCTGGTTTGGTCTGTCAAATCCATGGCTTTTATGTATGTGTAGAACGATTTTAGTAGTACCTTGGTTGCTTCTTTCTTATTTTCATCAATTCCTTTTGTGGCTTTCTTAATTTTGTCATCTATGTTGTCCAAAGAAGCATGTACTGTTTCTAACATTATAGAAAAGGAGTTTAATATTGCTTCCTTCTGGTTGATGGTGTATATATTTGTTTTAATAGTTTCCAACGTAGATTGTACCCAGGTAATGCTAGTGTTATCATCAACGATTATTTGTGTTAATCTATTTTCATATTGTATTTGAATTTGACTTAACCAACTTGTTATGAACTCCATGCTCATATTGAGCATAATCCTTATGTCCTCATATTCATTAATAAGAACATCAATAAGGTTAAAAAGCACTCCAAACTGACTATTTATCGTTGAACGACTTATATTTAATATTTCCTTAATAGTACTTTTAGCTAAACTTAACTCTTTTTCGAATGTCGTTTTGCTTAGCTTACCATTTAGATGAAGCTCTCCTAAATTGTAGCAAGCCCTATCCACTTGAGTGGTGATGGAAATTTTCACAGCGTTAAAAATATTTTTTGTTACCATCAGCAAATACGAAACTGCTTGTTTGAACTGTTTCAGTCCATTTGCTCCTGGACTGGATACGACCACAACTTCTCTCGCGAGGTTTTTAAGGTAATTTTTCGTCATGTCGACGACTTTCTCGGTTGAGTTTCCAAAGGCTTTATCTATTTGGGGGAAGATATCGTTTAGATCGCCGTGCAAATCAGAAATGTGGTGAAAACCATGTTCCAGTGTTAGTTTTAGAGTTGATAGGTAATCCAGTGGTTTTGATTTTAGTTCTTTCAATAGCTTTGATATTGAAGGCCATGTTATAGAGGTGTCTTTAATTTTTTTAAATACTTTGGAAATTTTGTGGTTTATTTCTTCAGCTGTGGTGCTTAGTATTTCAGACCATAATGTAGCCAAATCGTTTATAAAAGTAATATAATTTTGTGCCTTTGTGAATTCCGTTGTTGTCAGATTGACTAGACCACCAGTTCCTGACTTCCAGTAGTGCGCGGCCCATACAAAGCCATCACCAAGATTATTTAAATATATTTTCATTAAATTTTCAAGTTCTTCTTTATTCAAATTATTTTCCACTTCGAGTTCTGTTAGGGAAACTTCTAAATTAGTGTAAGCATATTCCAATCTTTCATCGACCAGGCATGCCCCTGTAGTAACTAGATCGAAAAACACACTTATTGTAGTATTAAATGTATTTGTAGTGCCATGTGAGCTTATTACTATGGTGGCAACTGATTTTAGAATGTATTCTACAGAGTCCTTTACGTATTCATTTTTTATATCTTCTACACTGGATTCTATTAAACTGTATACATCATCCAAAGAGTTTCCAAGTTTTGACAACAACTTCTTAACGCACTTTACCATTGCAGATCTTGTAGTTGATGTGGATTTGGTTATTACTTTAACCTGACTTAAAAATGACGATGCATTAAAATTATTACAATTGTCCAGGACATCATAGAAATAAACCGACAGATCTTCTACAAGCTCATCCTTCTCGCCGTTGGCCAACCTGTCGACGAAATCCATATTGCCAGTGATAACATTTCTTGCATCTTTGTACTCCTTTTTGAGGCGCTCAATGAAAACATTCACTGTTTTAAACTGGTACGTGAACAGCTTCATACATTTCTCGGATGCATTTTTTAAATCCACTTTCAAGTTGCTTAGAGAGTCACCTAGTTGCTGATCAGTAACGCCATCTCTACAGTGTTGCAGTAACTTTAACTGTGCTTGATTTATCTTTATAAATTCTGCGGGGATAATAACATCGATTACATTCTCCAAGATTGTTTGTGCGTATTTGATTATTAAAGTAAATCTTTTGTATCCTTTCTCCCCTACACCATCAAGTTTGATGATGTCACGTGCAAACGATTGTAGGGATGCATTAAACGATTCAGTTAATGGAGAGTTGAGATTTTCGAAGGCCTTTCGTATTTTTATGTTTATGTTTATAAGGTTGCCATTTAGAGAGCCTTCAAGAGTTGTCAAGGATGCATATACGTCTATTTCCAATTGATTTATTAGTATCTTTATATTTTTTCTTATGTCAGTGTAACTTTTGTTTACTTCTTTACAGTTGGGTTTACTTGTGAGATTGTTGGATATAGCCGTTATAATATTATCGGCTTCCTTAACTTCAAGATTAACAAAATCAGTGATTAATTTACCTAAATTCGTAATAATCGAAATTGTCTGAAGATTATCTTCTTCTTTAAAATATACAGTTTTTTCAAGTGATTTAATTGGTTTCAATAGGTAATCTGTGGCCCATACTTCAACATAATCAACATCTATAAGTAAACCATCCATAATTCCAACCAATTTGTCTTTGGTCATCTTACTAGACAAACCAACTTCACTAATTGTGGCATTACTTTTAGCAATAATTCCAACCACTTTTTCATTGCACAGTTCAAATGATACTTGCGTAACTATTTTGGCATATTTAACACAACACTTGTGTTGGTACAAGTTATTGGAAGAGTTTTCCGAAGCAATTATGAGATAGCAACCATTGAGGATGAAGTTTACAGCTGCTTGATCAGGTTCAGTTAAATTTGTTTTAATTACACCTTCCACTTCGTCCAGATACTTTAATATTGTTGCTTTAGAGTTTGTAAGTGTATACTGTAATGCTGTAGATATTTGGGCATCAATATCTTCATCGATATTGTCATCATATATTATTTCTTCCATGATACTTTTCAAGGAATACCCCAGGTTAAGTTTTATAGCATTTACTTGTTCTTTTACATATATTACAATGGTGTCAAATATTTTGTCGGGATTTGTAAATACACCCAAACCTATAAACAACGATTTTAACGCCATAAATTCCCTTTTGAACATTGTTTTGATCGACTCCACCGATTTTCTTATTTCTGTTTGTATATCACAAATATAGTCTTCAAGGTTTTGTTTTGTTAAAGTGTTTTGATATAGTGATTCTATAATGCTTTTGCGAACATTATTAATTGATATGGAGATTGAGTTACTTAGTAAAGTAACATCATTCCCTAAGACTACCTTCACAAATGTTAGTACGCTTTTGAATTTTTTTAAACCATATTGGTCTGTACCATAACATTTTATCACGAGATCGGTTATGTATTTTAAGTTTTTTCGTATTCTTTTTTGTAAGTTTTTGTCCAATTGATCTGTTGCTGAATCAATTTGACTAGTAACATCATTTAAACTGGATGTGTAAGACAGTTTTTCTATTGCTTCTTCGATTGATTCTGTGAACTCGTAGGTCGCATCTTTTGAATCTTCACTGATTTCATTTAAGTAGTGTGTAACATTTTTTAAATCCAAATTAATGTCTTTTATTTCGGTTATTTTATTATTTATGCAATCATTAACCTTTTTGGACAAATATAAGACATTTTCATTGCTGAATTCTGTCATATAATTAACAATTTCTTCTGTAAAAGTGGTTTCTAAAAAATTCAATTTATTATTATTTGAAAATATTTTTAAATATGTTTACATACCATTTGCACGTGTTGTAGGGCTTAACGCACAAAAAAACAAAACTATTGCAAAGCGTATCATATTGTATACACAAAATTATATAATATTCGACTTTTTAAGCAATTTTTATCATTTTTATTATGTAAATCTACAGATATAATAATATATGTAAATAATTCTAAGCCTAAACGACTTACTTATATTAGACAATATTAATTATACCAAGGTAAACAAATAATATTTGTGTTACCTACTTTTTATAGAGATAATTTTATATTAATTTTTATGCGGTCATTTAAGAATGTTTCTAATTAGTAATTTAAGTAAAAATAGTCAAGGATATTAAGTACATATTATACTACTTTTTGAGGGCAGTATCAGCCTACATATTTCAAATGATTTTGATTCTCTATGTATAGAATATATTCAACGCATATCCAAAATCTAAAATCTGTTCAATTATTTCTAATTTCATTCTTCGATGTCGATACATTTTTTATTCTAAGAATTTTATAATTTTATTAAAAATTTAAATTATACTAACAACTTATTCAATATATTTAACTGATAAATGTTAACTAAATTAGTGAAAAAAATAAAATCAGGAATAATTTTTTTAATAATTATTTATAACAATCCTAGACGGTTTTTTGTCTAATCTTAGTTAAACAAATTCACAAACAACATAAAAAAGGAATCTAAACCCATTATTTATTTTTTGATAATGTTCATTAAAAATATTTTACTTTTAAAACTTTTAGAGTTAAAATAAAAATAAAACAATATTATTTATATTTTATTGTGCACTGTAAACAACAACGTTAAGAATGTAATAAATATATGTAAATAATTCTAAGCATAAACGACTTAGGTACTTATGTAAGACAATATTAAATATACCAACGTAAACAAATAATATTTGTGTTACCTACTTTTTCCCAGTAAACATTTGTGATATCACGAAAAAGTCACGACGTGACATGTCACAACTTGATATCAAATTGCTGGCACAGTGATTAAGTTTGTCGTTTTATGTCAAGCAGTGACACGCGCGTGATCTTTTTGTCACGACGTGACCCCGCAGGGACGAAACTTTTCATTTAAATGACAATACTTTAATTTGTTCACAATACGTTAATTACGTATTATGTTATTATTGTTAGACACGTTATAGGTTAATGATTTGAAACAATTATTTCCCCAAAAATATATAACTTCACTTTATATTTGTTTGCGATTTTGCAAGCGAAGAAAAAAATTAAATTCTTTTCCCTTTTATTTTTAATGTATAAATAATAATAAAATTAAAAAAAGCAGTATTATACCCAAATTTTATTTTAAATATCTATTTGGGATGTTCCAGCGCCGCCTCTGGATTAACTAAATTTAATTTACATTAAATTAAGCCCTTTGCCTACTATAGTATATATATATATATATATATAGTAGTATACTAAAAAATATATAGTAGTATACTAAAAACCTAAAAGGTTTTATCAAATTCGCCCAAAAAATAAATATTTTTTTTAATAACTTGACCACCCTGATGTTTTAAAGCTTCGTTTTCGAGAGGCATGCCTCTCGAAAACGAAGCTTTAAAACATCACTAAATTTTCCCAATTAAAATCTGCGACACCCTGTATAGGTAGGTATTATACTTATAGGATACTTGATGCACCCTGTATAAAGGTAGTGTGCAAAACTGGTCTTATTATTATTTTATTTAAATAAACGTTGACTGTTAATATTTTAGCCCATAATTTTATTTCACCCAACATGTTTTAAATATTCCCCTGTACTTTCGCTCGCGCATGCGCGCTAGCAATGTCACGGAGTGATATCTCATTGAGTGCGTATTGCGCTTGAATGTCACGACTTGATTTCCCATTGATTGTGTATTGTGGAAACATATGAATGCGCCAGTGATATCACGATGTCACGACGGGATTTCGGAGTGATTTCAATACGCAATCACAAATGTTTACTGGGTTATAGAGATAATTTTATATTAATTTTTTATGCGGTCATTTAAGAATGTTCCTAATTAGTAATTTAAGTAAAAATAGTCAAGGATATTAAGTATACTACTTTTTGAGGGCAGTATCAGCCTACAAATTTCAAATGATTTTGATTCTCTATAGAATACATTCAACGCATATCTAAAATCTAAAATCTGTTCAATTATTTCTAATTTCATTCTCCGATGTCGATACATTTTTTGTTCTAAGAATTTTATAATTTTATTAAAAACTTAAATTATACTAACAACTCTCCAAAAATTAAATAGTCAAAATTCTACTATTTGAATTAGTACTAGCATTTTTTACTAATAAAATAATCGTTTTCACTTTTAAATAGTTAAATTTTGACCAATTTAAGATTAGTCACCATCTTTGACTATTTCTGAGAGTTAAAATTAACTAATTTCTTTAATAGTTTGCGGCCAACAATAAAGTATTATTTGAATTAAATGCATATACCTAAGCTCCATGGTTGAATGACCTATAAAAACAAATAAAGATGCAAAAAGTTTAGCTCACAACAGCAACACAAATAATATATTCAACTTTAAAATATTATGAACAATATTTATTGACAAATAAAATTGATTTTTATAAGAGCGGGTGATAGCCGAATGGGTTATGACAACAGCTTGACAAGCTTGACAAGTGACAGACCTGAGTTCAATCCCCGGCTGGGTCAAAACTTTTTTTAAATTTAAATCTACTAATTTGATAACTGATAAATGTTAACTAAATTAGTAAAAAAAATATAAATAAAATTAGAAATATAAATTGTTATAGTTATAAATAACAATCCTAGACGGTTTTTTGTCTTATCTTAGTTACAAAAATTCACAAACAACATAAAAAAGGAATCTAAACCCATTATTTATTTTTCGATAATGTTCATCAAAAATTAAAATAAAAATAAAACAATATTATTTATATTTTTATTACATATCATTTTTTATTGTGTACTGTAAACAACAACGTTAAGAATGTAATAAATAAAATCGGTAAATCTTATCACAACATTATTCAAGTCGGTGATTAGCGAATTCTGTAAACTTTTCAACTCAATTTTAAGAGAGTCTATGGTCAAACCACTATCCAACTTGGATGTAACCGAATTCATAGTTTTATCGATGCTATTTCCAAGAAAATAAGTCAAACTTTCTTCCAAATTATCAATGTAGGAGACCAATACATTCAAGAACTTTTTGTGTAAATCTCCTTCTTCTGAAGAATTGCACCGTTGTGTTGATAGTTCTGTAAAAACGGTTTTTAATAGTTTAAGATAATCATCACCAAGAATTCCCGTTCCATTTTGTTTAATTGATTTTGATAAGTTACTCACTACCTCGGTTAAATTCGACTTTAAATCTTTCCTTAAACTCCTTAGAGTGCTTAGGGTTATTTTGCCACAAATATTGTCGATTATTTCATCGAGTTTCACATCAATTTCCTTTATAGTTTCATTGACAAACCTTTGGGCGAATGCTTTCAAAGGATCTGCAATTTTGTAGGGGTTTTCATAAATTTTTATCAAGTCATCGAAATTTCGCCCTTCGTTTTGGAATCTGCCATTTTTATCATCCCTGGCTTCATTTAAACTTTTGATTAGCGTAGTTTTTTCATAGTTATTTAAAATTTTGTTCAGTGTTTTGCAAGATTTTTGGTTATCGTTTAGATATCTGGTCAGGGTTATGTTAATGTTGTCCTTTGCAGTCGAGAATGCTTGACCAGTTACCAGAGAAATAAGCGCATTGATTGAGGTTTTGAATGTTTCAATACCTGCATTATTATACCCTTTGGTTTCTATAATTATTAGTGCTATATTTATTACCACTTTGACTAACGCTTTCTCTGAATTGCAAGTTATGGTACAAGGTTTCTCAAATTCCTTGAAAATTGTTTCTTGAAAGTTTTCCAATGTAGAAGTTTTGTTACTTATGCTGTTCAGTATTTTCGTCAGCACTTCTAGTTGATAGTCAAATACTTTATTGATTTTTTCTTGTATAATATTTCCATATCGTAACACCAATGTAAAATTTTTACATGGTTTTATTTTACACGTTTGTTGTAGCAATTCTCTGGATGTACTTTTATATGAACCTATAGCTGCATTGGATATATCTTTGAAGATTTCGTTTGTGAGATAAACAAAATCATTAGTAAGTTTGGTTGGTTCTAAAAATGAAAAGTTAGATACCCCCTGATAATGACTGGTGTAGACAAAAACACATCTTACAAAACTTACCTTGCGTTTTTATTTCACCTAAAAATTTAAATCAATATGAAATTATTTTTACATTTCGACCCATGCAACGAAGACTATTGTAACTCAGTTTTGATTGTAGACTAGAGTAACTCAACTTAATATAGTTTTCGCCTGTAGGAATGTGCATTATTACACTTACTATACAGGGAAGTTGTTCACTCTGAGTTACTGTAATCTTCCACCAAATAGAACTGGAAAAAATCTGTTGATGCCATATAGTAAGTCAAAACCCATGTTTTTTGAGTTACTATAGTCTTCGTTGCATGGGTCGATTTGTTACAGGACTTACATTCTCCATTAATTATCCTACAGGAAATACAAAGTGCAAAAACTACTACAATGTAATTCATTACGCACTTGTTTGTCATTTAAACTACAAAATACTGTTTTTTTTATAGAGTGGCTTGAACTAGGTAAATAATTTATGTAGAGATGGGGATTCATTATTTTTTTAATGCAAATTATAATGTTTTTCCATTATTTTTTCCGTGTTATCTATACATATATTATATTAAAAAAAGTAATTATTACATTAACTTAAATTACACAGGGTGGAGAAAAAACACTATTTCGAAAACTACACTTTTTTAATAAACATACCAAAAAAAGTAGTTTGTCTTAATAAAGTAAAGATCCCTATTCGTCCATCAATTGCTTTTGTTACGACAAAAAGATCATTTTTATAAAAATTATTTATCTACAAACGCTGCTTTTAGTAATAGCATTTGCATTAATTATAAAGTAAATGTAAGTTATGTTTATAAAAAATAACACTCTTTCAGATGCAGAAACGCATTGATAATAGTATATTATGTATCAAGTTTGATAAACGCCATTTTAGTTTAATTAAGCACGAGCGAAGCTTGCGCGCAAGTGTTTAATAAAAACGAGTGTCTAGAGAAGTTTATAAACGAGTTGCATACTATACTTTATCTACGACGACTACAAAACAGAATTTAAAGCCAATTTTATTTGTTAATATTTTGACACAGATCTGTTAACTGTCACCCGAATTTAACCTCACTTTTTCCCAATTTATAATAAAGCTAACTTCAGCCCGTGACGTAAAATGTCGAAAAGCCACTGTTGTTAACTTCAGCCCGTCAATAAAACGCCATAAAGTTACAGCTCGTCAATGTAGTAGTAGATAAATATAGTTATTATTATTTGTCAAAAAAAAAACAGTTCTATACCGTTTACAAAAACGTTTTGTAGTATTAATGAAACCTTAAGTGTATTATTTATAGAATTTTTGTAAATTTTACAAATCCCTTTTCGTTTAAAATAAAATTTGTTTTATAATAATATATTATAATAAAATTTATGTAAATTTAACAGCAAATTAATTGTTAATTCAATAAACTATTTTCATTGTAACAATGGTCACATTTTCAACCTATTGTTCAGTGTTGAGTAATTTTTTTTTAAATAATTGCGTATAACAAAAAAAATTAACTCATATTATATGATACTATTATACAAAATAAAAAAAATATTAAGTCACTTTTTAAACAACAAGTCTGCTTCGTTCAAAGAATAGACCTTAGATATTTCTTTTAGAAAACGTCGAAATTTTTATTTTCTTAGTGATTTTATCATGCTAGATTTTACCACCCTTCAGTTGCACAAGTGATATCAATAAGATTATAACACAGACTGTGGATTATGTTCACCAAGAAGAGCGCTGGCCCTTTCCCCTCTTTTTAAGGCAAATAACAAAAATGTTGATACTATTGCAAAACAATAGTAAATATTAAAAAAGACTTTTTATAGCAATAAAATATTTTTGTTATTGTTCTTAACGTAAGCTATTAACAAAGATTTTCTAACTGAAATAAAATTAATATGAATTACAACGATAGTAATTTAAAAAAGACAAATATGCCATAGAAAAGTTAACACATTTTACTATAAAAACTGCGCATTACTTTATTTAAGCGCAATTCACACACAACTATAGATTTAACAAAACATTTTAAGTTCGAAAAAGATTTAATATAAATATAAAGTATTTCTTATTGCCATTACAATATGATAACAACAATTACTTTGATGGATGAACTTTTTTTTTTATAAAAGCTCAACATTGCTGCTTCATTATTATAATAGTACATCAGAATGTTATTAACAGTAAAAAAAGTTTATTCCGTAAATAAAAATAATCTCATTACTTTGACAAATGGTACATTTTTGTATAGCCATTACAATTTTAAATTTAAGTTAAATAATATTATTTTATTTATCGCTTTTCATTATCAGTGTATGTACATTTTTTGAGCGTATTAAAAAGTGTTATTATTTGAATATTTGAACATTTTTCAAATTTGTGTTGAAATTTTCGGTTTTGATCTTTTTCCCAATTTTTCCCGAACTGTTAAGTCTCTAGACACACTTAAGACTTTTTAAATAAGAATATACAAAAAATGCTTTTCCCATCTCTAACAACTTAGAAAACTGGAATTTAAGTTATTATTAAAAATATTAACTAAGTATATAACAGTATTTCAACTATCGATAATGCTCATTAGTTTACCAGGTAAAGGTAAAATACCTATGAACTAGCCTTGGTATAACATTTTCCTTTTAGTTATATAAAAAAATGGAAAAATGATAATGAACAATTAATACCTAGTAAACACAGTAATGTAAATTTGACGTCAGCATATTATTATCTAAAATTGTCCCCTGAATCCGAAAAAATCGTCAAAAATTATGAAAGTAAAGCAGTTTTTAAGATAAAGTCGATTTCATATTATATGGAAAATTTACTAAATCTCAAAAACGTTCTACTTTTATAACTGACGACATTTTCAGATTTAGCGGACAATTTTACATAGGAGTTGACTGCTAAATATCCGGGATGCAAATTGCTATTGACTATAATTACACTATGATAGTTTTAGAAACTTTTTTACTAACATTGAGTACTCCCTCCGGCCTAGTTTAACTAATTTTGGGCTGCTGATTTAAAAAATGTGTCTCGTTTTGCTCTAGGACGTCTAGTATTTAAAATAATTGCTTAATAAAATGCTCTGCTTAATCACATTAATGTGATTAAAAATTTTTTGTTAATATTTTAATTATTTATTAAATTATTTTGCCTTAAATTTATCTTGAATGTACTGTAGTAATCAGTATAGGTACGTCAAATTAAAAATATTTAACTTAACGCTCGACTTAACGGTATGGCATTTTAAATATTAAAATTATAATGTATTTTTTTTTTAAACACCATTATTTGACATTTTATTGTCGTTTATTTTAATTATTGAATTGAAATGATAAAAAAGTAAACAAGTTTTGGTATAAAAATTATCTTTGACTATAATTTGATATTTTACCCACAAAATTTTATGCATTGCATAATTTTGCTATAAGGGCACTCCGACTGTTTTTCTATCTTAAATTTATTAAATCGTATGAAATACCGAATTGAATTAAAGTATTAATGTGCTTAATCCAAATCATCGTCGTACGGCTTTTGCTGCAAATTCCAGCAGATGTCTCCTAGCAATGAATCCAACTTCTTTTCGCTATACCAATGCTCTAGATTTACAGTTAGGTACTTGGTAAAATCGTTGTCCATGTTCATCAGATTTAGTAGGTGACTGTCCTGAAAATATTTAGGGATGAAAACGTATTTTTATTGACATATAATAAGATTTAACAAATTTAAGATTGGAGATTGAATTTTTGGGTATTTTAGGCATGATGTGATTAAAAAAAATCAAATAGTAGAAGTGAAATGTTTATACTTTGTTGCCTTTTCAATTTAGTAATTAAAAAAACGACGAAAAAATTTCAAAAAATTATTCCTTTTACAAAAAAATATATTATAATTTTAGTTTTAGTATTTAAAATGACATAACATTGGTATAAATATTTTCTTTAAGGGATATTTAATAAAGCGCTTCTCTATAGAGAAGCACTTCTCTATAGAGAAGTCCTTTACTAAATATCAATATCAATATAAATATTTTTTATTTGACATACCAACCGATGAGTTTGTATAGAGTCCTTGTATATTTTTGACAAAAAAAACGGTGCATCCAAAATAGATTTAAGGCAAAATAATTTTATAAATATTCAAAATATTAACAAAAATAACAATAATTGGGCAAAGCATTTTATAACGCAATTATTTCGAATCCTAGAGGTCCTGGAGCAAAACGAGTGGCATTTTTGAAATCAGCAGCCCAAAATTATGTAATAAGATGGGCGTACTCAATGTTAGTAATTCGAACTCTCATAGTGTTATTAGTCGCTGCTTTTTCGCTATAGGGTAATTAGACTAATTGAATTAGTCATTTTGACTAATTATATATTAAAGAGTAAGCACTTTGTAGACTACTGTTAAACTTTGCTACCGCCAACTGCAACTATCAAACAAATACTAAAAATATTATGAGAGAAATTTCTCTCCTTCTATTTTGATCCTCATATATATATAACATGCAAGAAATTTCTTGCATGTCAATCAGTACTTTGTAACGATAAACTTAAGTTTATCGTTACAAAGTACTGATTGACTCTTTGATTTTGCGCCCCCAAATGCCAGGAACGGGCCTGTCTATAGTGTAGAATTAATAATATAATATATATTACAGCATGATAGTTTGTAGTCAAAACATACACCCTTACTCTTAAAGCTATTCCGAGACACTATAGTATACTGTTTATTCATTGACAGTGACATATTCAGTCAGCAAAATGTCGAACGATTGGAAAGATCTGCAGATGCGGGGCTATTACTCCGAGCTAATAACCTGCGACTCCGACCACGAGGAAGGCGTCTCCGAAAATTTATTAGGAGCCCACCGAACCACCAACATATTATGGCAGATAAAAACCGAGAAACACGCCCCGATAGTTTCGAAGTTAACTAGACCGAAAAGAGAGGTTTTCCTTGCGCCGGCCGAGCGCTGGATCACTTATGAGGAAGACAGACACGTCGTAAGAGACTATATTTATAATAGTGGTGGGGGGGATAATGAATTTTGCTGTTTAGAGTTTTCCTGTGGAGACCTTCAAACCTAAAGTACAGTTGAGGCACGTAGTGCAATCCAAAGAGCTGCCAAGGAATGTGGAGATTGAGCGTAGAAGAAGGGAGTATCAAGTACCTAAGTGTACATTATGTTCGAGAAGTTTCCGAATTTTTTAATTTTAATCTACCATACCTACTACCTAATTATTAAGCATAGGCATGAACCGCCTTCTATGAAGCTTAGATTTTGACCAAATCAATAACTTTAACGATACCTTCTAAGTGAGCCTTTTAAATGAGAAAATTCGAAAACTTCGGGTAGAACGTACCAAGTAAAAAAAACAAAAAACGTGATACAATATTTTAGAGGCATAGAGCGGAAAGTGTGCTCGACAGTTTTGGTATATTTTCCGAACAAATTCTACCTGTAAGAGTTCTAAGAGATCATATAACACAACCACAAAACAGATTCAAACTGTACAGTTGGGTCAGCTATTTACCACTCGAGTTGTTTGATGATACTGAGTTTGATCCAAGGTAAACATTTTGCAACATTTTGCAAAAGCAACTTCAACATTTCTTTGCATCGAATTTATCATAGGACTCCTGACGACTGGCTTCAACTGGGAGTTGTTGAAAATGTGCGTTACCCAATACCAGCCCAGGCTTTTTTGCCCAGTGGCGTAGAGTTAACGAGAATAGAGAAGCTGGATATGTTGAATAATATCTACAAGTGGGTTAATGTAGCTGTTTTGGACTATGATAAGCAGTTAAGTCTGTGGACTGTTCTTACTTTGGATGGTATGTAAAAAAAATCGTGTTATTAATATTATTACCAGACTTATGACTTGACAAGTCTTTTGGGCGCGATCATTTAAAACTTTTTTCAGGCTTGCAAAGAAGTTATACAGTGCCAAGAATATATTTAATGTTTAAAGCAGAAGACCCAATAAACTTTGGAATGAGAGTTAAAGCAGCGTTAGATCTAAGATTTGATGCTGAAAATACTATAAGGTAATAGATAATAATGCGACATAAGAATTGCTTCATCCTGTGATGTAGCCATTCTGAGGTCGTTGATGTATAAACAAATATTTTAGAAACGAATTTTTCATCGATAACATGTTACTTACCGACATACAAGTGGATGATGAATTAATAGAAAGAGTACTACTTTTGAGTACCAGAATGAATTCATTTAAAATAAAAAATCAAGAATATTTAGAAAGAGTAAGAATAAAATGGTGAAAATACATTAGTTTTTTGTTGATTAATTTGTAGTTAAAAGAAGAAGTAATACTATCATATAAAAGAACACAGGGCGAACTCAATTTTCGTCATGTCATACAAGTTTCTGATCTTGCAAAATTTCTTCAAGGTTCACAGAATAAATGTGGGGAAAAACCTCTTAATCCAAGTAAGTGTTTCTGTATTCAAGTAATAAACATTTTAAAATGTTTTTTCTTCAAAACCTCTCTTTTTTTCTGACCAAAAACATCTCATTCAATAACAAAAATTCACAGAAATCAACACTTATATGGTGGACTTCAAGAAGTCCAGAAAATTCTACGCATGGTTCACAATATACTGCATTTCCGAAGCTTACAGGGCTGTATCTCAAATTGTAAACGAATGCATGAGAATCGAAACTCTGAGCTTGTTCAGCACGATTTTGGGCGCCAAGATGGTGACATTGGATGAGTTCGAGTTTATACAGAAACAAGCTTCAGACAGTGTAAGTGAAAACTACAATATATAATATTATACCTTACGTTTCCCATTTTTAATAGTTGATGAAACAATTGCGAGCTACATGGCTTGATATGATAATCTACAACACAAGAATGTGCCTTGGGGATTGCGGTAAAGGCTGGTACGATTTGATGGTGAAAAATTTCGACATCTACTTAATATCAAAGTTGTACAGATTCATGGAACTTATTAGATTCAGAATGCAGGTATAAAACGACAAGAAGACCTACGTTTTTGTTAACATTTTTTTTCCAGAATTCTTTAAGATTAATGATAATAAACTCCATAACGCTGTACATTAATTTGCTAGAAGCACCCTGTCTCCCCTGCCTCCCTGTCCCCGAAAACTTTGTTTGGGGTACAGATTTACGAAACAGCCCTTTTAAACCTACCGCACCCCCCATATTTTCGCTCCACATGAAAATGAACGAGGAGGGGGCCTATTATTCCACAGAACCAACCTTGTTCGAGGTAAAATTTGTTATTTAAATTCAAGTCTAACTCTTTCTAAGCGGTGAAATGAAGTACTCACATGTTTAAGTAGCATACGTGAGTAGTTCATTTTACCGTGCTCTCTCGTCTCGCCACTACTACGCCTCTATTTCAGAAAACCTTGTTACGTTTATACGACGACGCACTAACAGAGACGCACTACATAAAACAAATCAATTCGGCGTTGTTGCCAAACTTGCGGTTTGCGCCCGATTCTTATTTGACATCGCTGGGGCTTTTGTCCGATGAAATCAGCGGCGTGCGAGATCGTTTATTATTGGCCTACCAAAAATCATCCATTCCATTAAACGCGTATGCTGCGGAATACACGCAGCACTTGGAGCTGTACAGTCTGGTCACTGTTGATTATGTCGAGTAAGCAGGTTTATATTTTTCGAGATAATTTTGATTAATTCAAATTTAGGGCTTATAAAGAGGAACAACACATAGCATCTGAGGTGAGAGAAGAGGTTGGGTTTCATCACAAAATGCGTGAAAATTTGGAGGCCACGTTACCCTCGTTTATCGTCATCGGTCCTTTCTACCTGCACACGGAAAATGTGAAAAATATGCTGATAGCGAAAAGAACCGAGATCATAAAAGCACTGTTGGATATGTATGCACTTAAAATGAAGCAATTAATAGAAGCCGTTTTGGAAGAATTCAATGCATTACTTGTGAAGCTTCAGGAAAAACCTAATTCGATTGAACACATTTTTGATATTAAAGATTGGATGGAGACCATACCTATGACAATAAGGCAACTGGATGAGTCCACGAAGAGATATGTTATAGTAAAATAATCTAAGCCCTACAGGGAGTCCAAAAGCTTTTGATATAGAGTTTCTGGACGATCTTTTCAGATTTATTTAATTTAGAGCTTTTGTAGGAGTATGACGTTTTGGACCAATTTTTGTACAACCTGCCCCAAGAAGATTTCGACAACAAGTGGACGGCGGTCGGTTGGCCGTTGCGAATGCTCGGCTACGTCGAACAAACCGAGATGTTCCTCGAGGAAGAAATCGAGAGGTTCTACAAGCTGCAAATCGCCGATGAACTTGCCCTTGTCGAAAAAATTGAGACCATGACCGTGCAAGTGGTCAACCTATCAGGTCTCAAGGATTTCAGTAAAGTTCACGAAATAGCGGTGGATATTAGGAGGCTTTGGAAGGCGTTGAAGGAGTCCCAAAGGCAAGGCCAACTGTTGAATCAAAGGCAGAAGCTGTTTGGGAAACCTGTCATACCGTTCGATAGTTTGAATAAGTTGATTAAGGAGTTTGAGCCCTACAAAAACTTATGGGTTACTGCATCAGGTAAAAATTAGATACAATGTGATCGCCATGCATCATTTTATCTGTTGTAGATTGGCTTAGGTCGTATGATATTTTCATCGACAACCCTCTGGAGAACATAGATGGCGAGGCGTTGGAGAGAACCGTGAACGAGATGCACAAAACGATGGTGAAATTAACGAAAGTTTTTGTCGAGATAAAAGCGGTGCAATCGGTGGCGATCCTGATTAAAAATCAAATCGAGGCTTTTAAACCGAAAATACCTTTCATACTGGCTTTACGAAGCCCGGGTATGCGCGAGCGCCACTGGGACGAGTTCTTCGAGAAAACCGGCGTGAGAATCGAGTGGAGCCCCAGCTTGACTTACCGCGATTGCTTCGAGTTGGGCGTGGAGAACTTCCCCGACGAGCTGCTCGGTCTGGCGGAGGCCGCAGGCAAGGAGTACGCGATCGAGCAGACCTTGGCGAAAATGAAGACGGAATGGACGACGTTGGAGATGGACTTGCAGCCGTACAAGGAAACGGGCACGTGCATCTTGAAGATCGCCGACGAAATACAGCAGCTGATGGACGACCATATCGTGCTGACGCAGCAGTTGTCGTTTAGTCCTTTCAAGGGGCCTTTCGAGACCGAAATTGAGGAGTGGGAGGAGACCCTCAAGACCACCTCTGCCGTTGCCGAGGAGTGGATGGATGTTCAAAAGTAAGTGCACGTAATTTAGGATGAAGAGGTGATGTTTTTACATCCAAAATTTTTGATATAAACTGCTCGTCATAAAAATCGACCCACCTAGTTTTTTGGAAAATATTTGAAAGCTCGTTATTGGAAAATTGCTGAATCGATTTTGAAAATCTTTGCAAATTCTAAATAGCTGATTTTTTTACTCTTATGTCTAATTTTGGGAAAACGATATTTTGCACATAGCATTATACTACAGGGTGTGTAAACGAAGAGATGTATTTTTTCCGAAATTTCAAGTTATTCCCATTCATGAGGCAGTTGAGTTTGATAGTCGTAATACCCCTCCCTAATATTAGTAAGGAAATCCCTCGAAACGTTTTCTAGATTTTGTGATTATACCAATTTTTCGAAAAATGTCGTTATTCCCCAGTTGTCCAAAAAATGAGCAATAGTAGATTCTTTTACTTACGTCTAATTTTGGGAATACGATATTGTGCACATAGCATTATACTACAGGATGTTAAAAAGAAAAGATGTTTTTTCCAAAATTCCAAATCACCATTCACAAGGCAGTTGAGCTTGATAGTCATAATACCCCTTCCTAATAACGGGACATTTTCGAGATTTTGTGGATATCTTGGATAACTACGATTGTATGGCAGTTTTTCGAAAATTCAAAATAAAAACGCAAACCATACAAAATTATTTTCGTAAACTTATGCAGGCTATATTCATACAATTTTCTACAAACGGTTGACTATAAAAGTTTAAAAAATATGGCGCATATCTGGTTTTGAGTTTCCTTCAATTATTCTTGTCATTTTTGTCGTCGAATATGAAAACATTTTTCAAACAGCAAAAAACATTAAAAAAAAATAAAATGACGGATGTAAGATTGCATACCACGCAAGACGAAGAGCTGCCTGCCCTCTTTTTCTGCTAGAAGAAGATGGGCACAAGAACATGCAAATTGGGGAAACGATGTGTTGATAACTAATCCATATCTTTCGTAGTTTGCTCATTTTTGGGAATTAAGTGGAGAATAACGACAATTTTCGAAAAATTGCTGTATAATCGTAGTTAGCCAAGATATCCACAAAATCTCGAACACGTCCCGAGGGATTACCTAACTGTTATTAGGGAAGGGTATTAGGACTATCAAGCTCAACTGCCCTGTAAATTGGGATTTGAAATTTTGGAAAAAAATATCCCTTTTTTAACACCCTGTAGTATAATGCTAAGTGCACAATATCGTATTCTCAAAATTAGACGTAAGTCAAAGAATCCACTATTGCTCATTTTTTGGACTAAAATAACTACAATTTTCGATAAATTGGCAAATAATCGTAGTAAGCCGCGATATTCACAAAATCTCGAAAACGTTCCGAGGGATTACCTTACTTATATTAGGGAGGTGTGCTACGACTATCTAACTCAACTGCCTCAAGGAGGGGAATAACTTGAAATTTCGGAAAAAATACATCTCTTCGTTTAACACCCTGTAGTATAATGCTATGTGCAAAATATCGTATTCCCAAAATTAGACATAAGAGTCAAAGAATCAGGTATTCAGAATTTCCAAAGATTTTCAAAATTGATTCACTAATTTTGCAATAACGAGCTTTCAAATATTTTCCAAAAACCTAGGTGCGTCGATTTTAATGACGAGCAGTTTACTTGAGAACATACTTGAAAAAGGACAACATTGTGATATGTTAAACAAATATTAGAAATATTCCCCAACACCAAAGCTTAAAGTACTTTAAGTACTTCAAGTACTTAAGAACCATAACCATTACCATAATGGTTCAACTTTTCAGGCAGTGGATGTATTTGGAACCGATTTTCACCAGTCCAGACATAAGCAAACATCTGCCCGTCGAAACAAAAAAGTACAAGACAATGGAAAGAACGTGGAGAAGGATTATAAGAAACGCGCTGAATAACCCAAACGTAAAAATAATTTAACATCCTCATTCTCCCTGTAAAATTAAATACGTTTAGATTATTGAGTATTGCGGCGACAAGAACTTGCTGGAAAGCTTGAGGGACTGCAACCACTCTCTGCAAATTGTACAGAAAGGATTAACTGAATATTTGGAAACCAAGAGGACGGTATTTCCACGACTGTACTTCCTCAGTGACGATGAACTTTTGGAGATTCTGTCGCAAGCAAGAAATCCACTGGCCGTCCAGCCTCATTTGAGAAAATGCTTCGAAAATATAGCTAGGGTACGTAGTTAAAAAAAATCAATTCTTGACTAAATGTTTATTGATTTATTTATTTACAAGTATATGACATTTAATATTTTTGTGCAGCTAACGTTCGAGGACGACTTGAAAATAACTCAGATGTTTTCTGCCGAAGATGAATGCGTCGACTTGGAACCGACGTTGTATCCGATAGGGGGCGTTGAAGATTGGTTGTTGATAGTCGAAGGCAACATGAAAAATACAGGTACATTATTGAGATTCGTTTTGCTCGCTTCTTTAGCCCTGAAATATAAACGATTATCTTTAACTCTAAATAATACGTTGGACGCTAGATGGAGCTGATTGTCTAGCGCTCACCGCTGTCGCTGTAACCGACCGCTTTATAAGCTAAAAGAAGTCGTAATTAGATACTTTTTAGTGAGGATTAATTTGGGTCGTGCCTTGGATGACTTGTACAAGAGGAATCGGGCTGAATGGGTGCTTAGATGGCCGGGGCAAGTGGTAATCGCCTGCAGTCAGACCTTTTGGACGGCTGTTGTCGAGGGAGGAATCCGCGAAAATAATTTGGAGCATGTTTTCAATAACGTCATTTTAGTCAATGTAAGTGAAAAAAAAACTTACATTGAAATTTTTATTTTAAAATTAATTAAGCTTTATTATGTGTTCTTTCAAAACATGTTTACCCCAGTAAATTTCAATATTTAAAATCGTTTTCCTTATATAAGTATTACCTTATTTTATTATTTTTAATAAAAGGAAATTGGATCAAATAAGGCAATTTTCCAATTATTTATTCGGTTTAAAAATATACAACCTTGATTTTAATTTTATTTTTTTAATTAAAACTCCATACTTTTAAAGGCGAACATAAAAGAAAATTTGCACTTAAACATTCTATAAAGAGTCTTTTCAATTTTTTATAAAGAATTAATTTTATATACTTTAGCTTGATGCTTTGCGAGGCCTTGTGAAGGGTTCATTAACGTTTTTGCAACGAGAAATATTATCAGCTCTAATAGTTATCGAAGTACACTCCAGAGACGTTACGCAAACTTTGGTAGAGCTAAAAACTACCAACATCAATGACTTCGATTGGATCAGTCAACTCAGGTAAAAAAGTTTAAAATCGAATATTAGTCGTTATGAGAAAATGTTGAAAAAAATCTAGGTTGTAGAGGAGTTTCCGAGTAAAAAATTATTAGTTGCAAAGACTACACGGGATGTTATAGTTTATTATTGCTAAACTGTGTTGCGAATGTTCACAAAAACTTAAATGCCAATTCTACAGGTAAAGTGCATTCAAGAAAAAAAAATCAATTTATTAGGGTCTTAGTCCTAAAAAACTCATTAATTAATGCATATCTTCCAAAGTGACATTGAAAAATTATTGAATTTATACCTGTGGAAGTGCCATAATTTTTTTCAACTTTCACCGCAAAGTTTTGCAATAATGAACGATAATGTTATGATGTTATCAATCTGTCATTTTGGTCTAGAAGATCCGGCAACACTGGATTACATTTACGTGATTATCTAGGGATAGTTGGTTTGATTTATTTGGTACCATAATTTAGTTTTTAATTTTTAATTGACTAAAAACAAACAATTGTATTGTTATTTATTGCAAGTTTTTTTTAATAATTAGACAATCCTACCTTTTATAGTTTTCTTTCTTTGTTTTCTGCTCTTCTCTTTAGACTTTCGTTATATATAGCGAATATACCCATCCTTTTCTAATAATATTTTCTTTGTAGTGGACAATTATTTTACAGAATATAATAATTCGTTTCCACAACTTATTTTTAGGTTTTAAACAACACTGCCTTAAGAAATGTCACTGCAACTGTCAAAAGCGAAAAGTGTTACCCTGGAAACCAACTATCAACAACTCTCAATGTTGTCGTTGTGTGCTTGTTGATTGTTTCGACCTTTACTTGATGAAACTCCATATTATTAATATATGAATGAAAACAACACTGTTTTAAAGTTTCACTAATTTATTTATGTTTTTAATTAATTAATTCTGAAGAAGCTACAGTGTAGCGAAACAATTGTTAATTATTAAAAACATAAATAAATTAGTGAAACTTTAAAACAGTGTTGTTTTCATTCATATATTGTCGTTGTGTTTTACGTTTTTTATTTTCCGTTTCTGTGTTAAAATACACTCACGTGCAAAATAATCTATCCACACAAATTTTCGATGAATTTCAATCGCAAATAACTTTTTTATTTGATGTCGGATTTCAACGAATATTAAAGAATATTGTAGATAAATTAATGGACAATCGCTCACATTTTACTAAAAAATAGACGTACGTTTATAATATACAGGTTTAAACAAAAAGATGTTTTTTACCATAAGTTTAAGACACTGTAGAGTGGCAAAACCGTATATTGTTCTAAATTAAGTTTTATTTATCAAGTCACATCTATTCTTAACAGTTTTGTTTTTGGTTCACCTCGATATATTTATTTTTGTGGAAAATATGGATTTTTTAAAAATGATCCATCCATAGCCTATGGAGAATGACAGTGACAGTTTTGTTGAATCATCCCATACTTGGACATGTCATATACAGCTTTCAAAAGCTATCAAATTGTTTTTTGTAAATTAATGTTGTAATTTTGAGGTGTCTTCTTACTTTTAAAAATGTCCCCGACTGATGTTGCCCTTTTTACTTTACTTCTTATGACGTTTAAAACAATTCACATGTAATACTGTGACCGTCCATCCTGGATTAAATTAATAGCTCTGGCAACATCAGTCGGAGACATATCCATTTTATAAAGTAAGAAGACACCTCAAAATTTAAACATTAATTTGCAAAAAACAATTTGATAGCGTTTGAAAGCCGTGTATGACATGTCCTAGTATGGGATGATTCAATAAAACTATCACTGTCATTCTCCATAGCCTATGGCAACCTTAGTTCTTCATACAGAAAAATATTGTAAATTGCAATTTTTAAATCCATATTTTCCACAAAAATAAATATATCGAGGTGAACCAAAAACAAAACTGTTAAGAATAGATGTGACTTGATAAATAAAATGTGAGCGATTGTCCATTAATTTATCTACAATATTCTTTAATATTCGTTTAAATCCGACATCAAATAAAAAAGTTATTTGCGATTGAAATTCATCGAAAATTTGTGTGGATCGATTATTTTGCACGTGTGGGGTGGTCCAGAAACGAATTAAAAAAGTGAAGTTGTAAATAGACTTATTCTTACCCTCTAATTTTTTTATATAAAGTAAAAAAAGTTATTTTAGAAAATTTGAACCCTCTAGCTTAATTAGAAGGGAGTGCTCACAGCTATGATAGAATGAATCTGAAGACAATATATCCACATGAAAATCATGGTCCAGAACTCTTAGTAGCATAAATTGCAGCTTTTTTGTGGTTTCTGTCGGAACAGATTTCCGATTCGTTTCTACGATTTGTAACAAGTCTTGCTTTTCGTCCTCATTTTTTATAATTGATTATGCTCTTCAAATAGTTTTAACCATCTTTCCGCTATATCATTTACAACTCGAAGTTTACAACACACAGTCGACCTTGAAAAAATATAAGTAAGAAATAATTTATTGGGTAGACAAAGGCCATATTAATATTATGATTATTATTATTATTATTGTTGGTATTAAAATTATTACGAGTTCATTGGATAAGTACCAAAGATGATGTTTCAGAGATTCTCTAGCAACCTCGCTTTTTCCAATCTCCTCATAGCGTTCTAAATCTTTCCAAAAAGTTAGGTCGGACATAGTAGCTTTAGTGGCACACGGTGCCTTGATCCAGATTTCACCAAAACGACCAAAGCCAACTCGATCAGTTCCAAGTAGTCGTCATAACGTTGAGACTTTTGTTTCAATGCAGCTAGCAACAAGGGGATTGGGGAGTTTTTGTAAAATTCAAAATTCTTCGACGATTCTAGGTCTGAGGACTTGAAGCAGATACGATCAATAGGTACCCAAATTATTTTAAATCGATTAAAAATTGGAATATCCGGAAAGCAGCACAACTTGAAAACCTTACTAAGAATTATTTCCAAAACATGATGACTGCAGACTAACCAAAGTAAGTATCTCCCAATTTTTTCTCAAGCAAAACGCAGCATCCATTCTTCATTCCAGTATTTACAGATGTTGTGTCAAAACACATTCCTTATACTTTATCCACCAGATTCCATTCTCGAAGTACGTTTCCGACTTCATTTGCTGTACTCCTAATAACTTTTCTATTCCATCTGCTGAAACTACTACTGATAAATGTTCTACTTTAGTTAAGCAGTGGTAATCAGGAAGAATTTTACCATCCCAATGAACAAAAACTAAACCTTGACAAGAAAAACTTTGTTTCATATCTTTTCTTCCTTTCATGTTTTCGTCTCCGGCAAATAGTGCTGCGAGACGGCATTTCATGCGGATCTTTTCCCAGTGCTATCGCAATCTGTACTATAAGCCTTAGAACTTCACGGTCTGAGACATTTTCCCTATCCAAAGCACTTATGACATTTAAACTGTAAAGTGTAGTTTTTAGTTTCTTAGGGAAAGGTGCGGGATTAGCTGATTGAACTAGTGTGTAAGAAATATATGTTTAGGTAAATAATATTCTTTGGTAATTGTAACATTAATATATAGGGCATAACATTTTATCTAACCAGTAAAAAGATGGCGTAATGTTTTTTTTAAATAAATTAAAAAAAAACTGAAATCTCTTAGCTAATGAGCACTCCCTTCTAATACACCTAGGGGCCTAAAATTTTGGGAATTTTTTATTGATGTTGGAGGTAAAAAAATTGGGGGGTGAGACAATCTGTGTTTCATATCTTTTCTTCCTTTCATGTTTTCGTCTCCGGCAAATAGTGCTGCGAGACGGCATTTCATGCGGATCTTTTCCCAGTGCTATCGCAATCTGTACTATAAGCCTTAGAACTTCACGGTCTGAGACATTTTCCCTATCCAAAGCACTTATGACATTTAAACTGTAAAGTGTAGTTTTTAGTTTCTTAGGGAAAGGTGCGGGATTAGCTGATTGAACTAGTGTGTAAGAAATATATGTTTAGGTAAATAATATTCTTTGGTAATTGTAACATTAATATATAGGGCATAACATTTTATCTAACCAGTAAAAAGATGGCGTAATGTTTTTTTTAAATAAATTAAAAAAAAACTGAAATCTCTTAGCTAATGAGCACTCCCTTCTAATACACCTAGGGGCCTAAAATTTTGGGAATTTTTTATTGATGTTGGAGGTAAAAAAATTGGGGGGTGAGACAATCTGTAAAATCAACTTCACTTTTTTGGACCACCCTACACTGTATATATGTATTAAAAAAATTATAAAATTGTTTGTTTTTAATTAAATGTATTAAAATAACAAAGTAAATTTTGTTTTTGCAAGTATAAAATTAACTCCCCTTACCCCTTTCCTGGCCCGAACCACGTTAAATTTTCCAACCGAAATGGTTATTTTTTACTTGTTATTTCCATCTATATTAAACATTTCCTTTGATCTTTTTAAATTTATTTAAAAGGCAATTTGTATGCATTTATTTTTAGATATTATTGGACGGCCGAACAACAAACAAAAGTAAGGGCCGTTAACGCTGAATTTCAGTATGGCTACGAGTATCTTGGAAACAGTGGAAGGCTTGTCATTACCCCATTAACTGATAGATGCTACTTAACTCTGACAGGCAGGGACTAATTTAAAAATAAAATACACAACACAAATTATAAAATACGAAATACAAAATTAGAAATACAAAATACGAAATACAAAATACGAAACACAAAATACGAAATACAAAGTAGAAGAAAACAATAACATTTTCATATTTAGGTGCATTGCATTTGAAGTTTGGCGGAGCACCTGCCGGTCCAGCCGGTACCGGTAAAACGGAAACCACCAAAGATTTGGCCAAAGCTTTTGCCATACAGTGCGTCGTATTTAACTGTTCCGATCAGCTGGATTTTATGGCGATGGGGAAATTCTTTAAGGGTTTAGCAAGGTGAGATTGTACCAGGTACAAGCTTAATTTTCATGTATCCGTTTGTCCGTCAGTCCGTTCATCCGGGAGCGCTCTTATTGGTCCAATTAAAATTCAAAATGTACGACATTTTATCGGTCCGTCAAGTTTCAACTTCGTACGTCTGACAGAAAAAGTTAAAATAATTTTAACTCATCCGTCACTAAACATCTGTTTTTGACGCCTAACGTTATTTTAAGATAATTTATTTTCAATTCTTTTAATATTTTTTTAATAAGATTGTAAAACGGAAAGTTGGTTATGTGAATAATGTTCTACTGTTATGTTTTTATTTAATAAGAATAACAGAAAAAAAAGAAAAGACAAATAAAAAATATTAAATCCAGAACTAAAAGAACTTGCTTTTTTAAAACTATACATTTTAATGTAAATTAAGGCTAGTATATTCTTTTTATATGGTATATTTACCTAAATTTATTAGACAGCTAACTGTTGAAAGTTACAATTGAGGCGTTTCTCGGAAAAACATCATTAGTCCAATATCGTCGAAATTTAGATATTAGCACCAACTGTTTCCTAACCTCCATATATACGTATACAAATAAGTGTTTCTCGTAAAAATGTCATAGGTTCCATAATAATTAAATATGAAATTTAGCTTGTTCTTCTAAAAACATCACAAGTCCACTCCGTTTCGTCTAAGAAAGTCACATGTACACAACATGTGACGTTTTTGGACACTCTAGAAAAGCTTCTACCTCTTTTACATTACCACAGCAATAGAAAAATTTATGATAACTTGATAAAAGAGCAGAAGACCATAGCACCTGACAGTCCTGATAACACGGTCGACAACGATGATAACAGCTGTGGATGCGAAGACTGAGTGTGGCAGTAATACAGTTTTTAGTTTTTTCATTAATTTTGTTACTCAGAGTTAGTATTTAGTTTGTAGTGTTTGTAGTAATAAGGAGAATTGTTTGTTTTTTTCTTCCAAAAACCTCACATGTTCATGTATTTTTTGTGTTTTTTTCATATTCGTTTGAAAATACAAACATGAGGAATTCTGGACAAAGTATCTTACATTTTTTAGATGTAGTAAATAGGTAAATAAAGTACTTTGGTCAAAAATGGGAATGTCGGAGAGTTTTTTTCATTTTCCCAAATATGTTAATTTTGGACTAATGATGTTTTTCCGAGAAACGCGTCAATTGTTCACATAATTGTAACTATGACAATTAAGCATTAGGTAAATTAATTTCTATTTGCCGCCAAATCAATCCGTTAAACGTCATTAAAAAAATGGATGCATGAAAATTAGAACATTTCTTGCCAGACGTTTTTATTGAATAACGGACAAACTGATACATGAAAATAAAGCTTTAGAAACATGTTTTGTTTTAAAATAATTGTTTCAAATTTGTTAAATTACAATCTTGATCATACTTTAAAGTCTTTAAACAGGCGAAGAAATTTAACAAAAACGATTCCATCAATATTTTTTGATATTTTTTTTTAACTGGACAGAAAATAAACATTTTTATTATTTCCTTTTCAAGCTCTGGCGCTTGGGCGTGTTTCGACGAATTTAACCGAATTGATATTGAAGTTTTGTCTGTAGTTGCCCAGCAAATTACAACGATTCAGAAGGCACAGCAAGCGAGACTGGACAGGTAAATAATTGCGAAACGATAAAAGTACACATCACATATTATATATTAATTGGTTTGTGTGATAAAGTTACTAAAAAATTTAATTTTACGTTTGGGTTGGGGTTAAATTCTTTAACACTTTTAATTACAAATTTATATTCTGTTTTATATAAAGTAAATTCCGAGAAAAAATCCTATATTTCTAGCACGGATTTACTTAGATGTCTTTAATTAAAAGGGCTTTAAAATAATCTGTTCTAACGAATTTGCGTTTATACAAATATTATACTAATTAACATTAAATTTTCCCGGACTTATTTTCGAAAAACCTAATGCTTTTAAACAAACTGGTTCAAAGCACAAACCACAAAATACATGCCTTTGATGCACCCGTCCCTGGCGAAAATAAAGTGTGCATGAAAAGCGTGCAATAAGTGTGTATTTGGAGTGCAAGTCTTTATAAGAATGTGCACTTTTTGTCACACTTTTTAAAATAATTAAGTTTTTTCACTCTTTATGTACTTACATTGACATCACGCTTTTTATTTGTCATATGTCACGCTTATATTACATTATATTTTAGCACATTGTTTGCACAGTGTTAGTACATTGTTTAAAGACATTTTGCAAAGCTTCAGTCTATCTTACGCATGTCACATTTTATTCACACTGTTAGCACGCTTTAATATTTCTCATTTATGACGCTTATTTTAAACCTTTTTATAGCACATTGTATGTACAGTTTTAGCGATCACTCAACAGTTTAAGCACATTTTAGATATATCTCGCTTGAGTTGGGGTACAACATGTATTTAAAAGGTGAGGTAGATTCCATCTTATGTATTGCTAAGATCAAAGCATTCCCATTTATGGAGTTGACAGTGCAGGTATTTTTCTTAAAAAAATACAATATGTAGGACCTACATTGTGGGTATTTTTTTAAAATTTTTTTGAAATAAATATTTATTTGATTAATATTATTATAAGGATATTTGATGGTATATCAATAATTATTCTAAAACAAATACAAGATAAAATAGCTCAACCAATTGCATACATTACAAATCTTTCAGTAAACTCTGGTTTGTATCCTGATTGCCTAAAGATTGCTTCAGTTGTTCCTATATATAAAAAAGGCTGCCAGGATAGCAAAGAGAATTACAGGCCGATTTCAGTACTCTGTGCATTATCAAAAATTATCGAAAAAATAATATACAATAGAATGGTAGATTTTCTAAATAAGTATAACCTAATAACTGACTCACAACACGGTTTCAGAAAAAACTTTTCAACTGAAACAGCAGCCATTCAGCTTATGCAGTTTGTTTTTGATGAACTGGATAAGGGTAAACATGTTATGGGTCTATTTTATGACCTTAGTAAGGCTTTTGACACAATAAATGCAAGCTTCCTTATAGAAAAATTATCTAAAATTGGATTTAGAGGTAAAATTTTGGAATGGTTGCGATCATATGTGTTAAATAGGCAGTTTAAAGTTAAAGTTAACCATTCCTTATCTGAAAACTTTAAAAATGATCTAGGTGTTCCTCAGGGTTCGGTTCTAGGTCCTCTTTTATTTTCAATTTATATAAATGACTTACCTAAATTTATTATGGGTAAACTTACAATGTATGCCGATGATACATCGGTTGTGGTATCAGCACCGAATCCTGAGAAACTTAAACAATATGTTGATGAGGTTAACAACCGTTTTAAAAAATGGTGCACCCGAAATCGTCTTATTTTAAATTCTGAAAAAACTGAATATTTATACTTCTCTCTCCGTTTAAGTGGATTGAGTAACCTTAATAACCTTAATTTAAAAATATCGAAAAAGGTGAAATTTTTGGGGCTAATAGTGGATGCTCAGATAAACTGGGATAACCATATAGATAACCTTTGCCAAAAACTAAGCGCTTCAAACTTTGCCTTAATGACACTAAACAACAGTCTATCTTATACATCACTCTTAAATGCCTATTATGGACTTTTTTACTCGCACATATCTTATAATATAATTTTTTGGGGAAAAGGAACATCAGCAAATAGAGTATTTATTATGCAAAAGCGCGCAATCCGAATAATGTTTAACCTACCTGGTAGGGCTTCCTGTAGAGATACTTTTATAAATAAAAAATTACTAACGTTGTATGGAATTTATATATATAGTATTATGAAGTTTGTTTTTAATAACTTAGGAAAATTCCCAACTAATAGTAATTTTCATTCATATTCCACAAGAAGTGGCTCAAGACTATGTGTACCGAGACACACAACTTCTTTGTTTAAAAAGTCACCCTATTTTTCTGGCATCAAAATTTTTAACAATTTGCCCAATTATATTAAGGAAACAAAAAATTATAATGTTTTTAAAAGAAAACTGAAAGACTTTTTAATTAAAGAATGTCCTTATGAACTGAATAAGTTTTTAGAATAAATTTGTAGGTATCTCCGAGTATATTTAATTGTAAAGGGTGTCCCATTAAGACCGCCTATTTTAAATTTAGTGTCATCTTTTTTGTGTCAATCGTACAGCGTTGTTGTTGGACAATGGTCATGTGTGAACATTGAGGTTAAGTCATGGAGATTTACACGGATGCACAATGCATAGAAATTGTAAAAATCCACTATCGAAATGGTGAAAATTTTTCGGAAACGGTTTGAAGATATCGTGGATTTTTCGGTCACCATAACGCACCTTCTCGTCGTACTGTGGTCCGATTAATCGAGCAATTTGAAACGATTGGGTCAATTCAAACCAAAAAGAGACATGTCCGTGTTCGTGCAGCTTGGTCTGCTGAAAATATTGCAGCAGTTAGTGAAAGTGTTGAACATAATTCTTCCACCTCGATTCGCCACCGTTCCCAGCAATTGAGACTCTCTCGAAGCAGTTTACAGCGAATTTTGGCCAAAGACCTGCATTTTCATGCGTACAAGATTCGGTTGACACAATATTTAAAGACAGCAGACCATGCACAGCAACGAAACCATGAAATTCTTGAGGACAAAATGTGAAGGCAGAGTTATCTCGCGCCGCGAGGATGTGATGTGGCCAGGCCGACCATGCGATTTGACGCCGTTAGATTTCTTTCTTTGGGGATTTTTGAAGGAAAAGGTTTATGCTAATATCCCAAGAACAGTTCCAAAACTAAAACATGAGATTCGACGGGTCATTGATGAAATTGAGCCTGCACTATGCCAAAATGTAATCGAAACTTTTGTCATAAGAATCAACGTGTGCCGTCAGTCACGAGGCGGCCATTTATCGGATATTGTGTTCCATATTTAACCTCCATGTCTTCCCTCTTTAATGCAATAAAAATATCTTAACTTTTTAAATAAACACGGCATTTTTTTTAAATTTTAAAATAGGCGGTCTTAATGGGACACCCTTTAGTTCGTGTATTGTATTTCTGTGACTTGTCCTATACATATGAATGTTATCTATGTCAATTAGATTAATAAAATTATTATTATTATTATTATTATTTATATTTCAATTATGTGTAAATTTAAAAGACTTTATAGGTCACCAAAAAGAATCTGTTTTTGTAATAGGCACACAGGTGGCAAGAAACAGTGTGCAAACAATGTGAAAAATCAAAAGGAGTTCCCTTTAGAACATTGTCAACACTTTCAAATTTTTGGTTTTGCACATTGTTTCATGTTCCATTTCCCACCCTCCGCACATCATTTTTTTAAAAGATTGCGCATTGTTGGCACATTGTTCTCAAATAATTTTGCACACTTTTTGCACATTTCATTTTCGCCAGGGGTTCAGAAAGATAATCCCGCTAGAGTGTAATTCTGCAAAATAATGTCAACTTTTTACGCTTAGGTTTTCCTTCGAAGGCTGCGAAATAGCCCTGAAGGAATCCTGCGCCGTTTTCATAACGATGAACCCCGGCTACGCCGGACGTACCGAGCTCCCTGACAACTTGAAGGCGCTCTTCAGACCGGTGTCGATGATGGTGCCGAATTACACGCTGATCGCCGAAATATCGCTCTTTTCCTTCGGCTTCGGCAACGCGAAAAACATGGCCAACAAGATCACCACCACGTTCAAGCTCAGCAGCGAGCAGCTCAGCAGCCAGGATCACTACGATTTTGGTATGAAAGCTCCACAAATTAATCGTTAAGGTTAATTTATGGTGTGGTGTTTTAAGGTATGAGAGCTGTAAAAACCGTCATTGCAGTCGCTGGAAATTTGAAGAGAGAACGCCCGAATATGGATGAGAGACAGATCGTTCTAAGAGCTCTAAGAGATGTTAATGTTCCCAAATTTTTGAGAGACGATTTGAAACTGTTTAACGGTATTAAAAATATGAAAGGTTTTTATTTTTTGTATCGTATATTTTAGGTATTGTTTCCGATCTATTTCCCAGAATGGTTGAAGAAGCAGTCGATTACGGTATTTTGGAAAAATCTATAAGAAATTCTTGCACAGTTTTGGGATTTGAGGATGTTGACGGTAAGAAATTTTGAATTCGTTATTGACAGTGCCCGACACAGTACACAGAGTAAAAACTCGTGACGTCACGTGCGAACCAGATTCAATTGTTACAAACAGTTTTGCATATATGCCTATATATATATTTGCCTATAGGCATACGCTATGCACCTGTGTTTTACTACGATTTCTTTTGAGCTTTTTTTTCGAAATTATTCATTTACCCGCAATGTATTGCCTAAAACTTTAAAAAAAAATTGTTGTATACAAGCAGTACAAAAGCGTCAATTTAATACTCATCCTGTATAATATAATAGAATTAATAAAATCTCGAAGATCGATTTCCTTATTCCACATTTTTAATTAAAAAAGTTTGTTTTTACAATTTTAAATTAAACTTCTGTTTGACAAGCAAATGTTAAATACCCTTTAATAAAAAACAAAAGATGGTAATTCAAGCCGTGGCTTGTGATTTCAATAATATTGTAACAAGAAACGACAAAGGCGTAAATATTAATTTTCTTTTGTTAATTCTAGATTATGTTAAAAAAGTTATTCAGCTGTACGAAACAACTGTTGTAAGACACGGACTTATGTTGGTTGGCCCTACTGGTTCGGGCAAAACAAAGGTAAGTGCATAATGTAATATTATTATTATATAATAATTATACCCAAAGTTTTTAAACAATTAAAGCAAACCATTCATATTTTATTTAATATATAGGCATTACTTCGCTCGAACTCTAGACTGAAGAAATGGTTTCGCACAGTGGGGCAAAATGTCATAATTTTAATTTAATAACTTTAAATATCCGACCTTAGTGTTGTTGGTACTTGGCAGAAAAATGTAATTTTAATATTAGAAAAATCTTTGCATACATAGTAAATATAATCTTGAGGGAAAACAAGTATAAACAATAAATAAATGATTCAGTAGGTACTCACTAAAGGCTGCTGTTGGTGAATCGTTTGGGAATGTTCTTGATCAATTGATAGAAGCAATGTCTGAATGTTCCGCCTGCCATCGCATACAGCAAAAAATTTATGCTGAAATTCGTGTAGTACATCAGCATCGTGAACTGCTGTATGCACCACAGCCACTCTGCTGGTTTGTGATTAAAAATGTGCATGTAATCTATGTAGAGACGAACGCAATAACTAAAAATAAATAATTTTTATTTTTTAATTTTATACAAGAATGCCTAAATATTTATTTGTCAGGATATTTTTATGTTATCCATTAAAATGTCACAAATTAAATTTTAAAAAACATTTGGACCTTATTTGGACACTTAAAATTGGTAAAAAGTTAGGTAAACCATTTGACAGATGTCAGATTTTATTTAATAATTTTTGAAAATCATTTAATTATATACTTATAATAAAATATAATATTACACTACATTCGAGATTGCATTATCTCTCGTATAATAATATACTAATATAACAAAACTAATATTGTTAATTTTAAAAGCTTTTCATTCAATTAAAAATCAAAAGTAATATTTAAATACATCTTAAATAAATTCTTTGCCAAAAGGCGCAAATTTTTTAACGTATACGTTATATAATTATATTATTTTTTATTATATCCTTTGAGGGATTTATTTTTATCAACATAAACAATTTTTACCTTCGTTAAATTTGCTTTTTTACATATTTATATAAATTGCCGAAGCTTATTTTATTTTATAAAAAAACTTTTTAAAAGTGATTTTTTTTAATTCAGTAGATACTTTACATTTACGTGCGTATAATCGTATATAAGTAAGTTTTTGATTTGATATATGAACTTTACGAAATAGGGAGTAAGAGAGTTAGAAAGTTAGAATTAAGAACATAAAACTTACCTTGGAAAATTTAATGCGATAAACACAGAAGAAATCAGCAGCAACATTGTATTAATGTTGTGTTGGATTCTAGACGGCTTGTGTGTGTATTTTTTGGAACCTAAAGTTATAATACATTTAATTTAATTGTTAATTACTTTGTAGTCTTATCTTTTGACTTAAACCAAGACCCATTTATATTGGAAATATAACAATATTTTTTGTGGTTATAGTAGAAAGATCAGGCTACACATTGCACACATAGGTACATCTTGTAGCAAATAAATAAATTTTATCCGAAATCGGCAGTAAAGTAGTCAAGAATCGGCAGTAAAGTAAAAGAAATCGGCAGTACAGTACAGTACAGTACAGTACCCATTATACATTTTAAGATGTGTCTACTGCTCCTTAGCAGCAACTAAATAATATTTAAAAAAGCACCGTCGCGGAGATTGGACCCTTTCATAAAAAGTTGTTTAAAAAAAATAATAAGTTAATTTTATTAATTCGATTAAAAAATCGCCGCGGCGGGCAAATATATCATAACCGTCGCAACAAACAGTATACTTAGACACTCCTACATTCAAATGACATTTGATTTGATCATCAAATGACATTTGATTTGATCATCAAATGACATTTGATTTGATCATCAATATTAATTATTAGTATTTTTAAATGTGATTTCGGATAAAATTTAATATGCACCTCGGCATTAAAGTTATTTTTTATCAGTCAAGTTGTAATTTCCACATTCGTGATAAAAAATACGACTTTACATACAAGACTTGATACATAAATAACTATTTTACTCACCCTTATTTGTTGACATGTCCGAACTGTCTTTGCTTGCTTTGGATTTTTTGGATTCTATTGAAATTTGTATTTTCAAATTGTAACCCTCTTGTTTTTTACTGGAATTGTCACTCTAAAAACACCAACATCTCGCACATATAATATACAGGGCGTTCAATTACAAACTAGCCACCCTTAATAACTTTTGAGTTAATGGTAAATTTGATCTTGAGCAAAAACAGGTCGATACTTGAAGCAGAAAGAAGCGAATTAATTTTTATTTGCGGATTTGAATTCTGTGCTCACGTTTTTAATGAGAGGCATTCAGGCAACATGTAGGCCATCAACCCTGTCGAATGGAAACTCGACCCTGTCGAATGGTGCAGTCATTTATGTCTCTAAGAAATATTTAAAAAGGTGCAGCAACTTCGGATTCCTATTCTCTTCAGAGACATAGAAACTCAAGCTTTTCGAATTTTACTCGCAATGATTTTCGTTAATATCCTCGAGAATTATACAAAAACAGCGCAATGCAATATCGCAACGGTTTCGACTTCTCTTTACTCTACCAAATTATAGAAACTGTAGTTTCTCTAATACTGTTATACTAAGTGTATTCAAATCCAAGCTGGACTAAACAAAAACGCTCAGACGCATGATAACTCGTTTTTATTGATCGATTATGATGGTATGACTCGGATTGTGAGTTCTTATTGGTCGATTCGGAGGATTGTGTTTACATTTACATTTAGTCCAGCTTGGATTTGAATAGACTTTAGTCAATATTTCTGAGGGCCAGTTTTTCAATAGTTAAATCCAGAGTTGAATAACTCTGGCTTATCTCTGACTTAAATCAACTCCGAGTTTAGGTCGCGTTTGGGTTTTTCAATTACAATCATAGTGAGGATTTATCAACTATAGGTTTATATAAAATTTGTAAGGTTGGCAATGCGTTGTCATGGTAACGGCTGCATGCCAACCACTGAACTATACTGCCCTACTATGGAGAAAGGCAGTAACTGCAAAAAAATGCAAAATGCGTTTTCATGTGCTATGGTAAAGCCATGGACATTTTGTAACCGAATTCACCAAAGAAATGCAGTCAAATATCTCATAAGTTAAAAAAATCAATTAAATACCTACTGCTTTTTATAAAAATGTAGTTTATGCTTTTTTTCAACAAATTTCTTGTTTAGCCGTTACTGCCTTTCTCCGTAGTAGGGCAGTATAGTTCAGTGATGCCAACGTCGTTTTTGACTCTGTTTTAGGTTAAAACCGTTTAACTTTAAAAAAAAAGAATGTCACGAAGGTAGTGATCATATCGATATCATTATTATAAAATTATTAAATTTATTGATTCCAATTTTAAGATTACGGTGAGTTTATTTTTTGCTTTAGTGGAAAATGTGCTGCAATTTATTAGGTATATTTATTTGAAGGCAGTGATGTCGTGTAATAAAACTGATATATGTGATTCTGAACCGCTCGAAAAAAAGGAACGATCTACAACTTTTTTTTCGGCTAAAAAGAAAGTAAAATGCATAAAAAATTAGGAAATCGCAAAAAAGTCATGGGTACTACCCAGGCGTTGACGGGGCGCAAACGAACAGCTAATTCAAGACAAAATTGGTTTTGTTAAGCTGCAAAAAGAAAATTGTTTGAAAATGAAATTGTTGCAACTTGATTATAAAATTTTAAGAACCCGTGGCGTAAAACCGCAGGGTAAGCAACAATTGGTTTTCCGCGGATAAAGCGTAATTTCTACAACGAACAAAATTAAAATATGACATTTAGAAGGACTCAATAAGCTGAGAGCCGTCTTGGAATACTTTTTGCTAAATAAACTTTTCACCTGTTTGTAGGGTATTGTATTACATCAACAATTTCTTCTAAAATATTTTCTACCTTTCTTGGAGACAACCGAAATCTGGTTAGAAAATCAATATTGTCCCACATTTCAAGATGATTTATTCTTGGACAAATATATATAGTAATGATGAAGAGAATACCAAAAGTTATTTGTCCAAGAATAAATCATCTTGAAATGTGGGACAATATTGATTTGCCTATAGGCATTTACATCATAGTCCCACATTATCACTTTACACAACACTCACAACAGAACGATATATACCATCTTTTTAATTTAATTCTTACTTAACTCATACCCTTTCTGGGAATTAAAGTAACTCTGAGTTTAATATAAACTCAGGGATCAAAATGAATTGAAAAACTCGAATTTAGTTAACTTTAAATTTAACTCGGGGTTTAAAGTTAAACCTCGGATTAAATCACATTGAAAAACTGTACCTTACATAAATTTACAACAAGCTGAAAATCAGTAAAATTGTTCAGAATATAATTATAAATAAAATTTTAAAGTTCCCCATAATTCCCTTGTATGGAAAATTTTTTATTCAAGGTCAAAGGTCACAAATCTATAAAAAATGTATCAATACTTTTTTTTCTACAAGCGACCGTTTCTGAGATATAACGATTCAAAAAGTTGTAAAAGTTATAATCGTCATAATATGCACACGTTTCCACGCCACCTATGAGGTAGTGTATTTTTTAACGTGGTTTCCCCAGTAGGCCTATTCCACGGGTCAGTTGTGATCTTGTTTAATTTGAAACTATGGCAAAATAACGGAAATTAGCAATGATTGGAAAAGATAAAAGCGATATAAATTTAAAAAAAGTACTGAAGTTAATTCGTCTGATTCGTAACATTTAAATTCTTCTTCTTATTCTTGTTCTTCTTCATCTTCATCCTGGGACCCAGGATCGGGGTACAAGTAAATTGCGTCAGTAGCGATGTATCGCATGTCACCTCGTTGGAATTAAATGAATCCTCCACTGTTGGTGATTCAACATTAGAGCACGACCGGCCTTAACAATTCGTACATACCAGAGAATAAAACAGTCCGACTTTTTTGCAACCACATTTAGCACTGCATCCCATTTTGCAGTTGCAAATAATTGTGTTCAGCAGTTTTTCCGGCGCAGGTGGGAGTAAAGTTTGAACTGGTTCTAATGGGTTGTTGACCAACTTCCAACCCCAGTTTGTAGGGTCTAGCTGATAACCAAGCCACACTTGAACTTGGTAATATACCCGAAAAAGATGTTGATGAGCAGCAACTGAGGTTGGAGGAAGACAAGCTAATTGAACTTTAGTATTTTTAACGAATAATGCATATCGATACTTATTAAAGCAGGTAGTTTTTTTAGGAGCTCCGTATATAGAAAGAAGAAATCGAATGCCGTTGGTGATAACTTGTTGTCCCGAAGCACCTTTTCCTCGAGTTTGGCCGAAAAATCTCCGCTCGTTCGAAAGTTAAGCGAAGACAACGGAACGTGCCAAATTTGACGGAAAAATCGAAAAAAGTGGACTTGGGCCTTTTCAACACCGGAAAAATATGGTCCGCGCATAGGTCTCGTGGGCAGAAAAAAAATGCAAATTTCGAGCGTCCACCTTCAACGGCCTCCGAGCTACGGCGTTTAGAAAAAAAAAGGATATACAGACTAACAGACAACGGAAAAAATAAATA